AGCTACGGTCCTCCGACCATGCTGCACCATGTGCAGACGCGAATCGAAGTCGGTGAGGCAAATGGCAAGCACGCGTTCTCCAGGCCCAGAGGCGAAGTCGATAAGGCGCGGTGGACGACGGTGGATCACCTGGCGCGATTCATCTACATGGTCCGGCACGACAATGAGACCAATGCCAAGGGGGTGTTTTTCAACAAGGGGAGCTCGACCGCACATAACACGTGGCTGCTGTGGAATCTGCTGAAGCTGCTTCAGTCCCTGCATCGAAAGGACAAAATCAACGGGCCGAGTGGCGGGAATGCGATCATGGGTAACACGAAACCAAAAACTCAGCGGTGGTCGACAGAGCAGTCTGAGCAAGATGGCCCTGGTGCGGAGGTAAAAGAAGATCAAGGCAGTGATTGATTCTAAAGATCATGACTGAGATGACATCTATGTACTGTACAGGATCTAATCAAACAGCAGAACAGCACAATAATTACCGCTAATTCCATCTCAGTTGCAAGCTCAATACAGGACCATCAGTGCCTATGCACGAGTTGTCTTCGATAACACCCTCTCAAAGACATCCAATGTATGCGCCCAGACAGTCTCACCCATCCCGCGAGCACGATACTGGGCAAGGAAATCTTTCGCCCTTACCAGTTCGCCATCCCAGTTCAGGGAATAGACGCCGCTTCCCTTTTCACCGTTTGACCCTCGTGCAACTTCCCCAGCTACGGAACTTCCCTCTTCGCCTCTTGTCACTGCAAAGCGAGGGGGATAGCGCTCAGAAGTGGCGCAAAACAGATGCCGCTGGCCCGACTCCTCGAGCGGAACGGCCAGAAACGCAAACAGCGGGCGGAGATACCTGACCAGAGAAGACCACGGCCACGACATATCCGAAGCAGCGAGATTGGTGATGACGAGCCCGGGGAAGACGTGCAGAAAACTGATCGAGGGGTACTGCTTGGCCAAATGCTCCATCGCGAGCACAGTCATGGTGTTGCTGTGGCCGATCACGTTGTTGGTAGAATGGTGGTGGCGCAGCTCGAGGTCGGATTCTATCAACCGGCTTTCTTTGCCTGCATCGAGGACGCTGACGACACGCGACTGGCATTGCGACAGAAGAGGGAGGAGGTTCATGATGAAGCGCATGCGGACGTAGTAGCGAAGGGCGAACATGGTGTCGAGACCGTCGGAATTTTCTATTTTCTAATCAGTCCCTTCCTGACCTTGAGTCAGTGGAAGGAAGGCAATATACCACGTCGGGCCCCAAAATGAAGCACCCCTGCCGAAAGGAACAGGATATCCAGCTTTTTCTCTTTGCGCTTGATCTCGTCACAGACAGCATCCACAGCGCTTAGCGACGAGACATCCGCCTGGATGAAGTGGAAGGTCGCCTGTGGGTTGGCTTGGGTCACCTTCTCCAGAATCCGTCGTCCTGCGCCTTCGTTTCTTCCCACCAGATACACCGTAGGCGCATTCATGTGGATTGCCATTTGCAGCAAAGTCGTCTCTCCGATGCCACTCGTTGCGCCCGTTACGAGGATCACCTGGCCGGGCTCACGGGCCCGGAGGGCCGAATTGGATTCTCGGACTTCTTTGAGGGTCACCATAGTTTTCACAAGACGACTGATAAAATATATATACACAGGCAGACACACAGTACCATCATGCGATACAAGCTCATATATATGCACGAGATATCGCAAGGGCAAGGAGTTGGACGTGGGTCCGTCCTTTCCAGACATTACCGAGATTGGTAGTTCTCGGACAATTTCGTCCGGACCATACTCCGTATACTTCCCAAAAAGGAAACGACAACGCCTATAAGGAAATAGAATGAAATAGAATCAAAAAGGAATATGTTTATTACGACATGTTATACACCTTAAGAAGCGCATGTAATAAAATTTCTTTTTTTTGTTTTGCTGAGTTTGCAGCAATCTCATTTCGTAAACGATCTGTTTTGACTACTAGCGAAGAACCAGATCTCCTAGCTTTACTAGACTAGACTAAACCAACAATAAATTCTTAGAGAAGATCATAACCATCCTCAAGGAACTTGACTCAGTCTTCATTCGCCCAGTCTGTAAGATTGAGGAAGACACCGATTCCTGACCCCCAGTTCGTTCATGTGATAGTCCAGGGACTGCCTGGCTTTCTGGATGTATCGATGGTGTCCTATGGACAGTGTGTGTTTATAAAACCACTTGCCTCATAAGAATTGGGGAGGGGAGTTATGGGTGTGGAGTATTTGTCCGGTTCCGTATCTCTGATCCATTGCAAGATTGTTGTCATGAGTTTTCTGCATTCTGGATCGTGGAACTCTGCGTCTCGTCCTTTACACCCGTTGTCCTCGATGACTGCTGGAACGACCGCGTTGGCTGGACTTTTATCTGCATGACCAGGAAAGTAAGGAGACATCCTGGGCAGTGGCACGGACAGGAGATTTTCATTCTATTTTATTAGCAATCAGTCTTTTAACTTCCTATTTCAATCATACAGCAGGACTTACCATCAGCGTGCTCTCCATGTGCCGCAAAGTGGATTCCTGCTCTTGGTAGTCCCTTATCCAAGTATCATGATCAATTATGCAGCTGGCATAGAGTTCATGAGGCGAGTCTCGTTCTTCGCAACAATCAGTTGCTACTGCATTGGGTGCGAACAGTCAAACAGTTGTCTGCAAGTCCGCAATGGTGTACACGATAGTTGATTGCGCGCTTACTCTGTGCGCTTACTCTGTGCTCGCGTATGACAATCTAGGATGAAAGTCCGCTTTTTTTTTTGTCAATTTGCATCCTGACTTCTGATCCTGAGCATGCTTGGTAACTGAACAGATAGTAAGCTTTCCTCTCAAAGGATCTGTCGACTATCGCTGCTCCAGTGAGCTGTCTCAATGTCTGCGACCAGCATGTTGAACAGGATAAAGTATGCAGTGCCGTCAGTAGGATGGCATGCAAAGTAACCGGAGGAAACTCCTGTTGTCGAGTATGTCCATCAAGCGGATTCGAATCGACAGCATTCTCTTTCCAAAAATGGAAAATGTTGTAATGCACGCATGTCGAGTCGAAGGTCATCTAGCCTGTCCATGAGGTCAGGACAGATGAGGGTAAATGTGGACTTCTCATAACGCAACCACACCTCTAGAGAGATCTGCACATGCATTTTCAAGAACCCTCTGTTCAATCTGCGGTTCTCCGCTTCTTGGGGCCTTTCAGGTATATTGATGACTATATTTATGATTGGCCGTTGAGGATAGGTAGGTAGCGCATGCTGTTCGAGGTGGTACGCACGTATATTGAAATGCATTTTATGGTCTGATCTGTCGTGCAAGATACCGCTGTATAGTCGATACGACCGCAGACTGGTTCAAGATGGCAGTATATGTAATATATGAGTTATGTGGGTAAGTATGGTAAAGTGGAGGAGTATTAAGCTTTTTGGGATAGGTAGGACGGGAATTTATAGACGAAGACAGACTCGCTAAGGATGTTAGGGTTCGTAGTGACAAGCTGGAGTCTTATTCACTGTCACTTCGTTCTGCTTGAGGGATATTCACTATGACGCTTAGAGCCTGTATCCTGTCACTCAAATCAGTTACTTCACTTTTTCTTGGTAGAATTTTGGTATTTGTACTCGCAAGGTACAAGAGCATTTGAAACTAAAATAACTACTTGAGTAGTTCATATTGATTCGATAACGGATGGTAGGTGATTAAATATTCTTATGCATACTGTCTATGTTTCTACGTAATGTACAGTCAATTGCATCATTCAAATAACAGTGACGGCCATCATCCATCGTATACAAATCCCCTCCGAGGCCAGGTAACACGATCTGGCTCGGCCAGCTCGAGTTTCAATCCAGAATGATCGATAAATGTCTCACTCGTCGGATCCGCCATACACATGGTGCTTCGATTCTGATCTTCACGGACCGCCACTTCGCCGTAGCGAACCGGTCGCCCTCCAAAAGTCCTCAGAATCCCACTGACATCGGCGTTGCCATCGCCCCCCTGCAACAGTGGCGCCCCAAAGGCCTTTGCGACTTCCACCGGGCTGAGCGACACCGGTCGCCCAAGATACCACCACCCGTGAAAGAGAGTTATGATGCAGCAGCCGCCGAAAAGAATCACCGCGACTGCGGGGGCGAGCCATCTGTAATGGGAAACGTAGATGGTCTCAACAATGGTCTCCGTCCCATTGACCAGCTGCGAAAAGGACGCGTTCGATTTGGAGATGGCCGCACGAAAGGCCAACTCGCGGATTCCTGACAGAATATCCGGCGTTGGGTCCGCCCAGGTCATGTTGGCGGTGCCTATGTCGTCGAAGGATGAGTTCAAATAGTTGATGGCCATCGGGCCCTCGGGCTCCATGGCATAGATACCGTCAAAATAGAGCGACACGTTGCTGCCGTAGAGGGTCTGCGCAGCCAGCTGGAATCCACCGATCGAGGACGGCCAGATCCCGAGACCGGCGGTCTGAAAAGGAGGATGCTGCAGCTCATCGTGTCGTTCTCCATGGCCGATCGAGGCATCAGGTTCAAGTGCCGTTGCTGACCTCGACCGGATACCTGACTGTTGCGATCTGCAGATTGCAATTCCCTCTAGTGAGACTGCCGACAGCACCGGGAGACGCTTTATAGACGGTTTGGGCCCCGATGGATCCACTGTCCATTTCCCCGTTGAACGTGAAACCGGCGTAGCCAACCCAGTACTCGTGGCCCGGTCTCGCGGTGAGCTGGTAAGGCACTGAGTCTGATGTGCAGCTGATGTCGAATCCCGGCCCAACAAGGGTTCCCCGGCAGGTCGCGCCGCAGCCGCTATAGTTCAGAGGGATCGCGCTTCGGCTGGTGAACAGCTGGACGACCTCTGCGAAATTTGGCGTCAGCATGTCGATGTTGCCCGATCTGGTCATGTAGACGCCGGAGAAGTCCCTAGGGAACGGATCGGGAGACATCCAGGCAGAGAAAGTGACTGGTTTCGTCGTGACTCGGCTGACGACGGTGGAAGCTCGCTGCAGAAGAGGGCCGTCGATAACAACCAAGGCCGTCGCTATACACGCCAGGGCAATTTTGTTAAAGGATCTCCCCGACGTCGCAGATGCGAATGCACTTGAGCCATGTGCCCAGTACCAGTGACAATCGCGGATATTTCCTCCTTGCAACATCTTGACCCACCAGGCGATCGTGCAACCTTCTGAGAAGGCCAGGGACAACAGGACGTTGGCGACGGCCGTCAGGACAGCCAGCATGACGGCGGGAGACATGACGGCGGGAGGTATGCCATGTTCTGCCATCGGCCACGTCGTGGTCGACTTTCCATCCGATGCGGCAAGGACGAAGATTGTTCCCAGGCCACATATGACGCCGCCGATCAGGGCTGCCAGGCCCGTCCACGGTGCAGCAGAGAAATCGCCGGGCTTCCAGGCCCTGTGGTGAGTAGGGCGAGGAGGAAGCGGTACCGTCATTGCAGGCAGAACATTGAAACAGTGCAAGGAACGACCGAAGGAACGAGAGACGAGATTGAAGATAGACTAGGTGGAAGATCGACCTGAGATAAAGATGGACAATGCCAGAACGGTTGTTTGGGCATCGGGAAAATCTCCCGCGCCACTCCATCGACTTCTCCAGGAGGTTAACGGTGCCTGTGGAGTGGATTCAGTAATCTCGTACGATTACCAGACAAGGCAGTCGATCTACCGCTAGCGTCGACCGTTCCTGGGGCTAACCAGTCCACCTCCCCATGATATTCTGTCCTGGGCAGCGATCTGGAGATCGGCAGCCCAAAAAAAGAACCAAAAATGACCAAGTTGAGCTGATATCCGTTCTGAGCGGCCGAATTACCGCGGTTGCCTTATGCCATTGTCGACATCGATATGGTGCCCTGTAGATGAGAAACCGTTTAATGGGTTCTTCATAACGTAAAGATAGCGGCTTGGTGATATATAACCCGGAGAAGCGTCCGACCCATGTAGTATGTATGGAGTAGCTTGTCGATATAGTCCTTTTTTGGCTAGGTCGTCTGCCCTATGGGGTTCTCGATAAAGAAGGCGTATGGTTGGACAGCCTGGAATCAAGACGGGCCTGTTTGGTATCAAGCTGGAACAAGCTCGTTAACGATTCTGCTGATCTGGCGATCACCATGTGTCTTCGGGATAGCATCTCCAACCATGCCACCGAATCACGACTTTCACACCTCCAGAATTGGTAAAAAAAATGATAAACAAAAACAAAATAAAAAAAAATACTAAAAACTTAAAAAAAAAAGAAACCAAAACGTACAACAGCGATTGTATGTCGGTCCTCACCAGCTCCTCTTCACGCAATGTTCATCCACCTCTATAATATTCACCTGAACCACGTTTTGAAACATTTAATATTATTTTATTATTTAGATTTCTTGAACTTCATCCTCGTGCAGTTTCTCTGCCAGATATTCAAACTTTGAAGGGGTTTCTTGAGCGGGCCGCATTAGGAAAGAAAGGTAGACTTGAAGACCAACTAACTGTCAATACAATGGAAGGATTTCAACGGGATTTCAAAGCTGCATGGTGACTAGAATGAGACTACATATTTCCAGATGAGATGACATATCTACAACTATTAGAGAAGTAAGTGACAATCTACCGTAAAATACCATACCATTAATAATTATTTAGTTCCTAACAGAGTTGAAAAAGGTGAAATGGTCTACAGCTAGGATAGATAAGGACTGCTTTTCGCCAAATTACTTGACATTATCATAATCATAATTCAACTCTGGTATAAGGATATTAAGGAACGCTATGGAAAGCATCCAAACCAAACTAGACTAGAACTTAGCTTGAGAATCTTAATTTAATATACTGCTTTACATGAGCAACATGATCCGACAAAAAGAGAAAAAAAATACGAAAGTGTGATAGTGGAACCATGTCTTTTGATTTGGACTCTAATTTATAACAAACTTTAAACTCCAAAGTTCACTGATATAGCAATTGAGGATCACAACTTTGCCCCTGAAAACACAAGACCTAACATAACTCAGAGTTTCAAATCAAATAATATGCTGGGTGGAATGCTCAAATACCGTCTTCGTCGAGCCTGTGCTTGAGGGAAAATCCCCGATATAGCAACTCAGTCTCCTGGAAAGATGCCTTCATCTCCGGCGATACAGACCGGATCGGGCTCCCCAGAAGCACAGATTTCAGCCACTCGTGGATAATTGCGTCGCATGCCTCTTCGATCTTTTCCTTCGTCTGCCTGACCGACACGCTTCTTGACCTGGTCCACGCATGCAAGGACTTGACGTTCATTCGCATGTTAAGTGATTCGATCACCTCCCGTGGAGATCCCACCAGGTGCTTCTCGACGTCGCTGTACGAGACCCCGTATTGCGTGGTGAAGGCCTCGCGCCACCGAAGGGCCCTGGATGGGTCAACAGTTGACATTCGTCGGATGGCTTCCAGGTCAGCAAGAACATTGGCACCGTGGACGACCGAGTTGCGCTTTGCCGTGGACTCTGTTCCGTCGAACCGGTCGAGAACTGCCGACCGCACGGCGATGATATCTTCCTCGTACGCTTCGAGGCGACTCACTCTGGCCGAGAGAGATTCAAGCATCTCCCTCTGGGTGGCAGGTTCGGCGGCAATACTCAGGCCCTCTTCTTTTCCAAACTCAAACGTGTCGCGATTCATCTTGGTCGACGTTCTCTCGAAAAGGGCCTTCTCCAGTCTCGCGTGGTCATCAAGCCCTGGATTTGCAGGCCCTCGAAGCTTTTTCGACACATATCCTGTCCACACCTCGGTATATATCCTAGTGAGCAACGAGCTGAGTACGGATCCAGAAGCCCCAAAGACTTCACCTTTGTCGAATTGTCCGGTGGCGCATACGACACGCTGATTGGGCATCTTCGTTTCTGCTGCTGGGTAACTACCAAACTCCCAGAAGCCTTTCGATTTGAATCCATTTTCCCCTCTTTCTCATGATCACTGCTAAATATCTTTTCTTTATTTATCCGCTCTCTCTCTCTCTTTGGAATACAACCGGTTCAACCCTCGAGGAGCGAATGAAAAGGATCAAAGAGAAGCTTCGGCAGGCCAGAGAACGAGTTACGGACAAGATTTAAAAGTAAAAGAATCTATCAAGGACATCCTTCCTAAGGTGAGCGGCAAGGTTGTCTTTTTATTTTCCACATCCAGTAAAAGGTCATGATAGCTATGACTTTGCACATAAAGAAACGTTACTTATTGAGACACTCTACGGAGTAGGGGAGAAGGAGCCAGCAGCAGAGAATAAGAATGGCCAAAGAACAAAGAATAGAGATAAGGGAGGGAAAAAGGTAAAAGCTGGCGCTCAAAGGTTTGGCTTGATCCTGCCTCATCTATCTCATCTGTCTTCAACAAAGGAGGCTTGGTAGGTACTAAGAATTTCCTTAAAAGAAAAGGTCATGACCATGACTGAATTAACTGAGACAGGCTCATGGGTGTAGATGTGGATGTGCACATTTGCACAAAGGTAAAAAAAAAAAGAGGTAAGAGGGGAGGTAAACATAGAAACAAGTTCTATTTTTTGCTAAAAAAAAATTAAAGAAATCTAGATACACAGAATAGTCCTAAGAACAATCTTTGCTTTGTTTTCACCTAAAAATTAATCAAAAAAAAATCGAGAGAGTTCAGTTACAGATAGACTCTGGAACTAGGTCAAAGAAATGCTTGTCGAAGCTATCAGAGGATGACCAGAAGCACGGTATCTCCCATATATGGTATCCGCCACTATCGACTCCGGTAATGCATTTGAGATATCCATATCATTCACCCTGCTCTGCGAGCTAAGGCGCAGCTGGGTGTCTAACCTATCATTACTCGAGATACATGATGATGGGAATAGATCTGCAGCATATACTGGAGCATGTCCTGTGAGGAACATGATTCGGGTAATGCTTCGGGTCTCCAACTGCAAATAGATATGGCAATTAGATATCTGGTTCCGAGGCTGTGTAGACAGCCATGTTGGTCGGCGGACAGGCACGGGGACATAAATAGAAGCCCTCCTGCCTCTCCCTTTTGCTTTCCTTTCAACTCTTAACAAAGATCGACTATGTAGTAGGAAAAAAAAAAGAGAGAGAGAGGAAAGGATCAAATAACATCGAATGGATTGTTGTTCATCCAATCCGTCAAGCGGTCAAGTTCCTGCTGTCAATGACGTACGACTAATACCCACTATCCTTCTCTTGATGACTGAGATCATACCGATCCTTAAACTTTTCTGTGACCTCCTCGAGACAACCCGCCGCTGCTGCAACGAAGCCAAGAAACGTCTTACTAGGCGCAAGGACTCTGCTTAGATTCAGGATGGAACTGTACATACACCAACATACCACTTATGATCCTTCAGCTCGATGATCTCCATACGCTCGCCCTTTTCATCCTTCCTGATAAAGGTCAACCCGGCCTTTTCCGGGGTTTCAACCATCTTGGGGTTGACCTCGTAGCGATGTCTGTGTCGTTCCCAGATATCTTTTTTCTCGCCATATAGCTTGCGGAGACGGGACCACTCCGTACCAGGCTGGAAGATAGTAGGGCGCTTGCCCAGACGCATTGTCCCTCCCATCTTTGTCTTATCAATCTCTGGCACATATAAATGATAACAGACTGGGAATACTGCTCGAATTCCTCGCTACCAGCCTCACTTACGCCACAAACTGAGAAACGAAAATTAGCTGTGACAAAAAGAAGGGAGGCGGGGGAATACCAAATCTGGTGTGAGGCCAGCACTCTGGCCCCAGTTGACTGCCCCAATATCAATGACAGACTTCTCCAGCGTCCGTAGAGCAGCGCAGCGAGCGTTGTGCCTCTGATTACACAATGAGGGCCAAAGTCTGACAGGTGTAAAAGATGCAGTACTGGACGAGAAGGGACTCGTTTAGAATCCCAATAAAGCTGGCGAGATGGGGAGAAGCATTTCTCTCCTCTAAAACATCATTTCCATTTATAAGTCTTTCCAGGGCTAAGAAGCGTTCCCAATGTTGTCGTTTCCAGTCGCTTTGTCTTAGTCACATTCTTGTATCCTAGGATCGGCATAAAGTATACCTTACATTTGTGCAGTGCGACGAGAGACACCTTGCGTATCTGACAGGGAGAACTTCCGCATAGCGACCCAGGCTTGCTCCTGATAATGCGTAAGTTTGGACCTTGGGACATAAATGTAACAAGAAAGGTTGACTTGCAAAAATTAATAAATTTCCAAGTCTGCAATTCCAGGAAACAATAGCTCTCAAAATAACAGCGGTCAGGAAGCCATCAAAAAAAGGAAACGACAAACAACTTCACTTTGTGTGACTGGCAAAAAGCTCACACCAGGGGTCCTCCTTTCCGGGACCCGCAAGTGCTACGAAAACCCCCACCTTGCTTTTGGCGGGCAGGGATTTTACTATCACGTGTCTATAATGTTTTTTTATTATTATTTTGGGGTCCAAGGACCCAGAGGGATTCGAACGAACGCAGGCCGTTCATCTGGATGTTAGTAGGTATAAGAGACTTAGGCTACTTAACGACCGCACCATCGCGGCCTGTGTTTGTTGACAGGGGAAGCAAACAGTGGGTGATATGCGCTCTGGGAGGGAGGTTACCGTTGCTGGCTGGCTGGGTGGGTGAGACTCGTTCATGTCTATGTCCACATGGAAGATTCCTTCTCCTTCTTTCTGACTCGAACCCTTCCGTCTGGAACCATGGTGCTCTTCTCTACGGCATCTTCCGAGAATATATGATAGAAGACTACCTCGTACATACAGGGATATGTGAGCAATGTAGGTGTAAAGCCCAAAAGTAGGCAGCCTTGAGGCTTGTTCCTTGCTGTTTGGACACGTGTTGGAAGACTACTGTTCACTTTGGGCGCCTACTTTACTCATTTCTGAGTCAGAGCAACCTTCAGTCAGTCATCTGGTCTCGAGCATCATCGTCAAGCCCACGAGATTAAAACGCTACAATCCAAAATTTTTCGATTAGAACATTTCTTTCTATGTTGGAGACGAAACTGTATCAAGATGTCCTTAGAAACGATGTCTTTTACAACGAGAAAAGTATGCTTGTCCTTCCTCCAATTTCCATTTGACTTAGGAGTGATAACCTGTCATTCAACGGCTACATTCTCATTGGCAGTGAGTTCTACGAAGGCGATATTGAACAGTCCTTACGAAATACGGGGCTTTGCCAATATCTATATGCTATTCAGAATTGTGACTTTGAACAACGCAACTCTATTAGCGTGACCGAAATGTATGTCTAGGTATGATAGACAAGACACTGATATATATTCAAAATACAAACAACTGTCTACACGAGAAGTAGGACAGAAAGTGCCCCTGCAGGGGGACGAGTCCAAACAAGACCGCTAATCCCCTCATCCCTTATCATGTCGCATTGTACCATGCCATGCCGTGTTGTCACCCGTCACGTCAGTCAAGCCTGACTAGGCTAAAAGATCTTTGCCCATGTCGAGAGAAGGCGGAAGACGTGGTGGATGATGACGTCGACAATGACGAAGAGGAATTGGGGGAATCACTCTAAGTAGCCGCAGTGGAGGTATTTATTTAAGCTGTCAAAATGGAATTTAGTAACGATGCCGGAAGAAGGGTGACCTAGGAAAAGATTCTCACACACCCTTCTGGACGGTGAAGGGGGCAGAGTGGGCGACTTCGCCGTTCCCGTCAGTGAGTTCGATCACGTAACCTTTGCTGTTATTATTAATCAATCAGTACATGCACATTTCGTTTCTCTCAGTTAAGGTTCTGCCAACTCACCCGTTAGGAACAGACGGGTTGGGCTGGGTGGTGTAGTGGCCCTCAGTCACGTTGACGTTGTCGGCGAGCTTGGTCTGCCAGTTGCTCCGGGGCTGGATCAGGATGATGCTGACGACCGGCGGGTCGTTGGGATTGGCCTGGAACCGAATGTCCTTGGGCGTAGAAAAGTCCCAGATGTCGCCTGCGGTGGGCGAGGTGACGGTCAGGGCGAGGGCGGAGGAGCAGAAAGCGGCAACGGCGGCGAGAGACTGGAAGAAGCGCATTTTGCTGGTTGTTTTTAAGAGAAAAAAAAAAGATACAACGAACGCTTTTATATAGTGAAAACTGTGTTATTGTATTGCCTCGAGTAGACGAGTTGTGCTTGCTTGTAGATTCCAGATGAGCAACGGCAAGATGGTCCCTTATATAGCTTCATCCAGGCGAGATCGCCACCCTTCTCAATCTACGAATCTAGCATCTACATTGCGATCGACAGGCAAAAGGCACATTTTGCATTGGATCGATAATAGATCGGCTATCTGTCTCAGAAGGCGGCTCCGCTGCTGCTGCTGCTGCCGCTGCCGGAGCTGCTGCATGCGTGGACGATCAAATCAACTGCATCGATGACGAACGAATCTGTAGCTGATCTGAGCAATCATCTATCTACCAGCGCGAGTAAGCTGACAGGCGTCCAGCGCAGCACAGCAACAAGTAAAAAAAAGATTTACTCTATCTAGATATTCCGGATTAGAACTTACCAGACCATGATTATTATTATTATTATTGGAAGTCGAAAACTCCATCCTATCCCATGCTCCGTGCATAAGATTTCAACTCAGCCCACCAGCCACCGCGGCTAGTACCTATTAATTATATAATAAATAGAGCTCCAGAGCTCCATCAGGTAAGGCCCCAATCGCAGGTCGATCGTAGGTAGTCGTAGGTTGATCGCAGCGATAACAAGCTGCATTTCGCGACGGCCCGGAAAGGAAAGCCCCCTGCATAGGTGAGCAACGCATTTATCCGGCGGCAAGGCTGAGGCTGAGGCTGAACGAAGCAAGGGGGTGCCGATATGACGACTGGAAGGAAATTAGAATAAAACAATCGACAGCGGATCTACCAAGGAAGGTAATTAGCTACAGGTTATGTGTACTGTACCTAGTTCATACAGGTACCTAGTACTTACGGAGTAAGCTACAGTCTATGAATCTTAGCGCGCCCCACTGCATCTCGTCTCATCTCATCTTATTTCTTGAACCGCCGAGAAGTAAATAAAAGTCCATAAACATAACGTTAATACAACGCATGCGCAAGGCTGTATCCAGCCCACTACCGCGCTTAGGTTGTAGGTAGGCTGCTAGCTAAAGGTTTCCCAAGTGGAGAAAAAAAAGGAACAGAAACAGTTACTAGTTTAGGTAGAACTTAAATCGACGCCCCTCGCAGCCTCGCTTCTGCATCCGGGCCGATCGATCATCATCGATCAGATATGTTGAAGATAGACAGGTACATCTTATTTCTTATGCATTCGTCAACGCAGCTTGTCTATCGTATGTAGTTCATCGTATGAGTGAGTTCATATAAGTCGGGCTAGATATCTAGCGGCGATTGCAGGATTTTACCTAGGCAGCGAAGTTATAATACGGAGTAATAACAAACTGCGTAAATAGGTGAAGAGTTACGCAATCGATCCTGTTGTTTTTGACATGTCCTTTTTTTTTTCTTCCCTCTAATGCTTCTCTGTGTTGGCAGAAAAGGTTTCTTGTTCTTCTCCTAGGCTACATGTTACGAATCAAGGATTCACCAGTCATGAGACCCGATTAAATCAGTTCTATTGCATCCGCCGCCACACACGTCAGCTTAACTGATGGGAGCTTTGGACACTTACGCAGAACGGCCCCTGGTCAATTACCTACATACAGACCCTACTAACTCTATACCAAATTTCTACCGAATTTCGTTATCTACTAGGTATCTAAAAATTGCCATATCATCAGAAGAAACGCCCAACATGATCTTTGTCATCAAATTCACGGGACAGAAAGTTACCAATTCCCAGGCGCAATGCCCTTGAACCCACTGTACAATAAATCTTTCCATCATTGAAACCTGACTAAAGAAATTATCTGCGCCTGCGCCACCGACATCCGAGTTAGCCATGATCAGACCAGACAAGCACAAAAGAAAGATGGATCAAAGTATGCAGGCCAAATCAGAACAGAATCATGCTCGTGACCGAAACTCCCCGTAAACCACACCCATGCCATTATAGTCATCAGTAGTTATCATCTTCAATCTGCTGATAGATATGTCGACTGCGCGCCGGATCTTTCCGCATCGCCTGGCCGGAACCCGTGAAGCCCACTGTAAGTCCACGTCAGTACAACTGTCAAAAAAAAAGACAAAGATAGGAAAAGATAGGAACACCAACCTCTCCCATTGATGCCCTCCGGCGTTCGAAACATGCTCTCCTTCTTGGCCGCTCGTCCAATCTTGGCTTTGCTCGTAAAGTCCTGCCACTTGGACTTACCCTCCTCGAGCTCGCGGCTGGCCTTGACTTTGCGCGGCACCTTCGGAGGTCGAATCGGCCCGTCACTCACTTTGCTCGGCTCCCTTCGAGCCTGGTTAGCCAGGGCCGGGTTGATATCTGCAGCTGCGGAGATCACGCTGGAGTGGGCTGGATTGGAGGCCGCGGCCTGAGAGGAAGAAGTGCCTGGGGTTCCATCAGCCTTGCGTTTGCGCGAGTCACCAGTGCTGGAGATGGGCTTGATGTCCTTCGCCGTCAAGGTCTCTGTCGTCCCATACGACTTGAAGGATACAATGTAGACCGGGTTACTCGAGGAACCGGTGATGGACGTGATCCGAGCCGGGTAGAAGGCATTGTCGCCAGACACCCATCGAGCCAGCACATTGTCATTGACCGAGAACGAAACCGGTGGAGAGGGTTCTTCTGCCGGAGCAGCCTCCGCGGCCGGCTTGCGATATCCGGCTTGGTAGGCGGGATGTTTTTCCTTCGACCATTTCTCTGGAGGCGGGGAGGGTTTGGATGGAGCCGGGGGCGGCGCAGATGCTGCCGGCCCCTTCAACTCGGCGATGGAGGCCTCAGTGAGGCTGATGAATTCCTCTAGTTCAGTCTTGAGGCTTTGAAGCTCTGCATTGTCGGGATCTACCTGCAAGCTCGATTGTACAGTTTCGAGCTGCACGCATCAGTCAGCATCACCATTCAGGCACAGATGATCGTCTTCCTCCAATTCCGGTCGGAAACCACGCACCTGTAGCTTGTATTCCTTGACCTCGGCCTCGAGGGCGGCCACGTCTGACGCCATGGTGGGGGATGGTGATATGGGGCGCCAGGGAGGCTCTGCTCCGTATGCGCAATTGGAATCGAAGCGGGAGACAAAAAATATGCCGGTAGACAAGCAGAGTGGATACCCCGGTTTTAGGGCTTTAGATGGCAGGGACCGAGAGAACGGAGAATGTCGGGGCGGAGCGCGGATACAGTCAGTGCTTGCGATGGCAACGATGGAGATTGCAGCGGAAGGACGACAGATCTTCGTCACGTGACTCTGATCCTGATCGAGACAAACAACACAAACAGAGCAAACAACAGCATCAAGCAACGCGATGAGTCACGCCAGCAGCAGCAGCGATGCTCCGAACGCAACTATCAACGCTAGTCGATCCTCACAGTTCGGAGCGTTGGACATGAGTCTGACACGAGGACAACGTCATTGCATATCTACCACCTAGCCAATCGTTGCCTGCTCCCTGGACCGTTGTCGTTACACTTCTATGCAGGTCGCTCGTCGAGCTATCTTCGGACCAGCAAGTGTTCCCGCAAGTCGCCACCAGTACCAGCAGATCGACCCCCATCCATCCATGTTCTGGTTCTTCTTAGCCTGCTCCGGCTGCGCCGCCCGAAGCAGCCACGATGCTCAAGCCCACAGGAGCCGAATAATAGGGCAAGTGTCGCATGTACAGTAGAGTAAAAGGCTGCGCGATTTACTCTGTAGTCCACGTGCACGCAATGACGGCAAGTTTAAGTGAATGGGATTTTTGCCAGGGTCCGTGACGAGGATGAGTCAATTGATCTGGCAGACAGGAGACAGAGTACGAGTCCAGCCTTGCCTGCCAAACGATTACGAGCTCTAACTTTGGCGTTAGTAGTCTTCAGGACGGGCGGGGCGTGGGATCTGCTGCCATTTGCCCCGGATATCTAGGCTCACGGCGTAAACGTCAGCGGCAGAGGAGCAGTCGGACTTTAGAGCGTTATGCCCGCCGCCAACCGCACTAAGGTGGCCTTAGGCCAGGTCAGGCCACATTCGAGCGGGCTGCGATGCCACTGGCCAGCGAGCATTGACGAAGAAAAAGTCGGACGGGCACGGGAGGGCAGTCCCGAGGACCGAGTCGCGGCTGCCCTGCCTGCTGGAACGCAGTCAATGGCAGGAGCCGCGCGGTGGAAGGTTATCGGCGCTGAGAGAAAGTGCCTGCCCGGGGGAAGGAGCGGCCGGCTTGGATTTGTAAGCATCCTGCAGGAACTCGGTAAAGGCGGCAGCTGCTCACGGGGCTTCGGCGCTGCACGGCGATTGGTCCGTGCCGGGCCAGACCCCCCTACCGCCTCACGAATTTCCCATTCCGGCGGCCTGCCGCTTTTACGCCCTCCGGCGCCTCCTCAAAGGTTCTCCGCCGCCCACCTCTATCGCCCTCCAACACTCGCCTCGCCCATCCCGCTCGACTGCTCTCTTCCCTCGTTCTGCCTCGATAGGCGCATGAGGAAGTGGCTGTCTTCCGCCTCGTCGACTGATCGCTGTCCTGGAGCGCCCTGGCTCCAATTGTTCCCTGTTCCTCACTGGTCCCGTCTTAGTCATCCACCTGGTCCCCCCCCCCCCGCCGAGGTGTGACATCCTCCACCTAACCTTTTCTCTTCTCTTCCATCTATCTGAGATACGGCCGTTCAGACGTCATTGTCCCTTCCAAAGAGGCCGTATCTTTGTTTGGTCCTCGAAGTGATCTGGGACCTGACGACTGGCCCGCTGCATCAGGCCTGACAATTTTTGTAAGTATTCTTCGTCATTTTTCATGAATCTCATTGTCATTTCTTGCTGCGCTACTCCTGGTTTTATATCTCTCCCCTCTGGCCTTGGAAATTTTTTTTTTGCCCATTGTGTGGGTGGAGTTTTTCGGTGGATCTGTTTACCCCATGTCGATAGCCAGTCAAAGCAGAACAGAATTGACCAGTTGAGTCTATACGCTAGCAGCGTATCACAGGTCTGGTGATATCCGCCAACCATCGCAACGTTCCCCTCCTCCTGGGTCTGTGACCATATCTACCTTTTCGACTTTGTTCTTTGGCAAGAATAGTACCTGGTTATCGCCATAACGAACGGGCGGGAAGCCCGGCCCTCGACCAGGACAGTCAAGGAGTCAATTGTACGGTCCAATCAATTCTTTCGGGGCCTGAAGTTGATACGGATCTCTCCTTGTTTACGCTGTTGTCCTTGGGTGCTTTGTTCTCGCTGTTGTAATAATACATTTGCTGCCAGCTATGGCGGATTACAATTCCCTTTACCAGCAGTCTCTCTACCTTTCACCAGAGCAGCAGGACCTGTTGCTGGCGGCCTTATCTTCCAACAACCCCCCTCAGAAACAGGGAACGAATAATCCTTCTATGGGCGATCATCACAAGACGGAGTCCAGCCACAACACCACGAATAACAACAGCCCTTTGCAGCCTCAGGCCAACAATTTTGACCTTACGTCATCGACCTACTTTGAATCCCCCGCTCAGGATGCTCCGGGCTCGGGCCATCTGGGATTTGGCTCTGACGAGAGCCCCTTTCTCGACTTCGATCCCGACGCCGATTTCGACTTCGCGGGTGCGGATCAATTGATCGGCGAAATTCCGGAAATTCCTGCTCAGGCTGATGCGCAGGAGTCGGCGGAGCAGAGAAAGATCTCGGATGGGGAAAAAGAGGGGAAAAAAGAGGAGACGGAAACCGGCAAAAAGCGACGGGAGAGCGAGGATAAGGAGAAGGCTACTGAGAAGGCTGCCAAGAAGCCTGGCAGGAAGCCCTTAACCTCCGAGCCCACTTCCGTATGCGTCATCCGTCATCTGCTGAGTCATGTTCTTCCCAGCTAACATGCTTTGTAGAAACGAAAGGCTCAGAACCGCGCTGCGCAACGGGCGTTCCGTGAACGCAAGGAGAAGCATCTCCGCGACCTGGAGAACAAGGTCCAGGAGCTGCAGAAGGCGTCTGAAGCCGCCAATCAGGAAAACACTCAGCTGCGACTGCAGGTGGAGAGGCTGCAGGTTGAATTGAGAGAGTACCGTAAGCGTCTCTCCTGGCTCAGCAGCGGTAACGGGTTCTCGACCATGAGTGCCCTGCACAATGTCAACTCACGAAATCTGTCGGGTCTGAACAATAACGAGTTCTACTTTGACTTCCCCAAGTTCGGCGATTTGCCCGGTAACCACATGTTTAGTAATGGGTCCTTGGCGAAATCTGTTCAGAACAACAAGCCAAATGGGACTTCGTCGACTGCGGGATCAGCGCCGTTGTCCAACATACCAGGAGTCTTGTCCAGAGGGTCGGTCAGCAGTGTTGGAACTTCTGGCCAGCCAAGTCCCGGGCAGAACAATTCCTCTGGCGACAAGGCCGCCGTCAATGGCCTGCCTAACGGTCTGCCTAACGTCACCCAGGGCGGCAAAGATGCTGCTAGCAACGGATCGTCTTCTAAGGCGGGCTCTGGCAGCAATGCACCATCCAGTCAAACATCCACTGGAACAGGTGCGAATAGCACGTCGAACTCCCGGAGTCAAATGCCCGGCAGTTCGGCAGCGTCCAACTCAGATTCTCCGAGTGCCTGCTCGGAATCGCAGCAAGGTCAGGCTTCGTCGATGGGGACGTCACCAGAGCCGAGCCAGAACTCGCCATCTGTGAGCAAGCCGAACGATAGTGGAGCTGAGAACAGTGGGGATCGGGGCAAGGTGAAAAAGTGCACCATTGATGGTGAGAAATCCTTCTGCGAACAGCTGAGCCTGGCGTGCGGCAACATCAATGACCCCGTGCCGGCAGTGTTGAAACAGTCTAATAATGACAACTCGCGAATGCCAGGCCAATCCCAGAATGCTCCCAACCAGCCCCTTTCGTTCGACTGGCTGGCTCAGCAGAATGGTGGGAACTTTGACCCAGTGCTGTTCAACGACTACCGGGAACCTCAGGAGGCGGTCCTGTCGCAAGACTTTGGGACCTTCTTCAACGACGCCTTCCCGTTGCCGGACCTCGGCAGTCCATTCCACAATTTCAATGATGTAGCCAGTCCACCGGCCCCGAGTAAGGACCTGGTTGGGGAGCTTGACAAGGTGGATGATGATGATGAGGAGGAGGTTGTACCTGGAGAGGACAAGTCACAGATGATGACTTGCACGAAGATATGGTGCGTCAAGTTGCCTGTGTCAATTTTTTAAGCGGACATACTAACTGGTCATCTGCAGGGACCGTCTACAATCGATGGAGAAGTTCCGCAATGGTGAGATCGACGTCGACTCACTGTGCACCGAACTCCGGACCAAAGCACGGTGTTCGGAGGGTGGTGTCGTCGTGAATAAGAAGGACGTCGATGACATCATGGGACGAGTTCAGTAATGAAAGAAAGCAAACAAGAAATGGAAAGGCGCTCTGATTTGACTTTGACTGGGCGGGTTAATAAATAAATAATGTACGTTGTCATGGATGGGATGGATGTTTCATTCAATGGGTGTGTCGCCATTACTTGGTTATGTTTATATTATGTTTCGTTTCGTCTCTTCTTCGTCTGTGGTCGTTGGTCTGGTCTGTCTTTACCTGACTGCAGTCAGTTATTCCCTTTTTTTTTATACTGCGTCATCACTGTGTGGTTTTTGCTTGCTGATCGCCATGAGGTACATGGACGGCGAAATCGGTTTTTCGGCGCCGCGAACGAGGAATTATTTTATTACTATGTACAAAAAAGAAATAAACGTTGTATGTATGAATGTATGTACACAGTTGTTGATTCAGTGTGAGGATTTCGTTTGTTTCGTTTCGTTTCGTTTCTTTTTTTTTTGTTTCGGATAAAATATACATCTAACCTTTGTGTATACATACGTATATGGATATTGATACTGAATACGGATATGTTTTTCCTTCTTGATCTAATCAATGCCAGATTATATATATATAAATCATATATAAATCGAGCTTTCTCTCTCTCGCTTTTTTTTCCCCTTTCCCGGATATATAACCAAGAAAACAAGCAAGCAAAAAATTAGGCAGAATAAAAACAAATAATTATATATAAATATAAATATAAGATAAAAAAAGGGTATTGAATCGCTATTAGTATAATTATAAAATTGTAAGATTGGCATCTAACCCTGATAGATAGGCCTCCTAGGCCTCCTAGACCTCCTAGGCATAGACTTCTTTCACGCAGAGAGAACAAGAACAAGAAACGAAAAGAACATATAGATATTAATCAAGTACAGTTTTTCTTTTAGTCGCATCTTATTATCCTGCTCTGCCCTTGCCCAATCATACAGTACAATACAGTAGTACAATGAGTGGTATAACTTATAGTATGAACGAATGAATGAATGATCCAGGTGGAAAGAAAGAAAGAAAGAAAAGAAACGTGAAGACAGAACAGGACAGGGAAAAGAAAAAGAGTGAAAAATAAAATGAAATAACTCCATAAGAAGAAGAGAAGAAAAGGAAAAAAAATACAAAGAATCATCATCATTTTTTACGTGTCTCCTATTTCACACACACACACACACACACACACTCTCTCTCTCTCTGTGGCACACACTCTGCACTCCCCATGTTGAATCTGAATCTGAATTCCACCTCCACTTCTTCCACCTCCACTATCATCCACCATCCACAATCTACCATACCATACCATACCATACTTCTCCGTCAGAACATCCTCATCCTCCTCCTCCAACCGTGACGTGACCGGAATTTCTCCTGCATTGCACACTTCGAACCACTCCACGATTTCTAAGTAAGGCTTTCCCCGTACCGGCATAGGCATAAAAAAAAGCACAATAAAAAGGGGAATAAGGGGAATAGTAAAAGGAAAAAACAGGTAGGAGAATCGTGGGGTAGTAGTAAATAAAGTACAGAAACAGAGTTAGAGTTCCAAAGGAAGACATTAAGATAAAAAATAAGGGGAAAAGAAGCCCACATTCCGCATTAGCAGACGAGCACGGCAATAGCGTGCTGCGTGCATCATCTGCCTGTAATGAAAAAGAAATATCCCTGAAAAAAAGAAGATGAAAATAGAAAAATAAAATCAAACTAGGTTTACTAAAAGAAGTTTAGGAACTTAGACACTTCTCGCTCGGGGTAAAATAAAATAACAAACAAACAAAAGGGTAAATAATGACAATCACAAAGAGAATCCCACGTCAAAACGGCACGCTTTTCTAGCTCGAAAAACGAACAAGAAAAAAGGGAAAAAAAAAAGAAAAGGGTTCATGAAACAGTCACAAAAACGCCTAAGACTCGCCACCCGTCGCTGGAGCGTTGTCGGTCGGAGTCGACGCTGCAGGAGAGTCGGAGCCACCACCACTCTTGTTGTGGTTGTTGTTGTTGTTACTGTTGTTGAATCCGCCTCTGCCTCGTCCACCCCGGCCACCACGATCACCTCCACGACCCCGTCCCCGTCCAAATCCACCGCGCCCACGTCCTTCACTGTCGCTGGCTCCGCTCTGATATCCTGCCCGCTGCCCCGCATTCGCTCCGCCGCGCGAGCTAGCTTGCCAGGTGCCGGCATTGCCTTGGCCTCCACGGCTGCCACGGTCTTCAAAGAACTTGACGTTCGGCTTGCGCGGTTGACCGGGCGGCGACGCCTTCTTGTGCTCCGCCGGCTGTCGCTCCAAAGCTGCCTTGGCCTCTTCCACACTTCCGAACGTGACAACGTGGTTGAATTTGCCCCATTTCTCTATCTTGACAATCTTCGCCCTATCCTCCTCGGGGAACAGATCTCGTACCGCCTGCTCGTTATCCACATTGGAGACGAACAGTCCGTTAGTCTGTTTCTTCTCGCCCTTGGGCGCAGGAGATTCAGACGTCTTCTCAGCCTGCGTTGCCGTGCCATTGGCCTCAGGGGCTGGGGCCGCAGGTTTCTCCTGGTTTGCGTTTGCGTTTGCGTTAGCGGCTGCGGGCTGGGGAGTCGCTGGCTTGGGGACAACAGGAGCTGGCGACGCGGTTTGAGAGGGAGCCTGCGTAGTCGTCGGGGGCTTAGCTTGGGCAGGCTGCTGGGGAACCGGCGGCTGTTGCTGCTGTTGGAATGTAGTCCCACGCCCAGCAGCAGGAGCCTGGCCAAACTGGGGTGCGGGACGATTCTGGTTCGCCGCGGCATTGGTTGAAGGAGGACCACCGCTCAGCTGCGGAGCAGGAACCGCAGCCTGGTTTGCAGCGGTCGTAGCAGCAGCGGTGTTCTGGGGCTTCCCAGTTCGGTGTGCGAAGTTGAAACCCTGAGCCCGCATTTCCGTCCCTATCCGACCGTTTTCGATCTCGAGGACCAAGTATCCAAAGGCCGCATCGGCAAGGTTGAAATTCCACATGTTCTTGAAGGCACTCTCGTCCACTTGACCGCCGGCATTCGCGGCCGTAACGGGACCTCCGAACGGATTACCGCCGTTGGCCACCGTGGGCATCTTGTTGACAACGTCCAAGGCATTGTCCAGGAGCGTCTTCTGAGCCTCGTTCGACGCAATGGCAGCCTCGACCTCTCCGCGGACAGTCTCCCACACATCGTTGAAGGAAGCCTTGGACGCCGCAAGCTTGCCCCGGTAGTGGTCCAGGGTAGGATTAACGGAGAATTCGTTGTAGGAGGAGCCATAACGGAAGTGCAGACCGGCGGATATCGAAAAGTCGGCCTTCAATGTGACGGACAGCTGGTTTAACATGCCTTCACGGGCCGGAGACGCGTGTGTCACGAAGATCCGAGTCTCGGAAGGATCGTATACACGGTTCGCCGTGTCGATCAGCTCGCCCATCTGAAGAAGGGTGGTCCACATGGTACCTTGGCCACCGGCGATCGTCGTCTTACCCTCGCCGTTGTCAAACAGCTTGTGCATAACAACGGCACCTCCCAGACCCAACAGACGCAGCTTCACACCACCGACGTCCAGCAGTCTGGAGTTCGCCTCGTCGATGATGTGAAGTTTGTCGACCTTGTACTCGCCAGATCGGAACTTCTCCAGCACGCGCACATCTTCACAGGCACCCCACACTGTGTAAACGGGAACGTCCAGGGTCAGTCTCTTGTCGAGGAGCAGCGGGAGTTCCGACAGAGGCAGCTGGTCGGGCGTGAATCGCGACTTAATGGACTGCTGTGGAGGAATCTGGGCAATAGTGCGCTTGATGTGCTCTGGCAAGAGCGGGGAATACTGAGCCACGTGTTTGAGGGTCCTACGAGTTGAATTAGCAATTTTCATGTCCTCCTGAAAGATTTCCAGTCAAATTTCTTGAAACTCACTTGTCGGCGATCCGCTCGAGTGACGTATCATCGTAAAAGCCAAAGTCACCAGTGTGGATGATGTGATCAGCGCGGGCTTGCTTCGCGAGCTCGTTCAAGGACTTAAGGTTTCCTGCCCGACGACGGTGTCAGTGGACAACTCATCTGGAGAATTTTCCAGGCTTGCAGCGCCATGACGGTCCTTACCTCTGACATCTGCCACACACAATATCCTCACGCTGCCGTTCTGGATGATTCTACCATTGTTCGGGAGGAGAGGAGTCGCGCCGGGGACAGGACCACCAGGCGCCGGACCGTTGGGGAGAGGATAGCTCTGGGTACCGAAGTTGTGCGGAGGACGAGGCTGGGAGAAGAGAAACGCGGCCGTCAGTCGAATTCTTCTGCACGATCACACAGGTCTGAAGGTGCAACAGACAGCTCCTGCAAGCTGCGAGAGACAGCGCAAGAGGCAGACAACAGGAAGAAGAGGCGGGCAGGTGTCAGGCAGGATTACTTACAGAAGCCATGAGTAATCTACACCGAAACTGAAGAGATCTGCAAGGTCAGAGGGAGGAGACAAGGGAGAGGGACAAAAAAAAAAGAAGAAGAAGAGGGAGGGAGAACGAAGACGGCCGTCAAGGAGTGTTGGTGGTTATGCGATGATTGATGGCGATGGGAAAAAGCGACGGGCAGGGGAAAAACGCGCTAAACAGAAAGAGAAGGGCGGCGCTGGATGATGGAGTTGCGTCGGGCGCCACGCAGCTGGAGAAACAGGCCACGTCAGGGAGGAGTCGTCTGGAGAAGGATGACAGGGAGAAAAAAGGGTTTGAATTAAGTATTACTGAAAGAAAGATATCTAGGTAGGATCTGGGGAGAAGGAAGCCGTGAGGGCATGAGGAGAGCACAGCAGGGAGACTTTTTAGTTTGTTGCGGACAGCCGCAGGCGGATGCGCTTATGTAAGCAGCCCTCAGTCACCTTTTCCTTCGTGTAAAACATGGGAAGAAGAATCGTCTGGCAGATGCTACGACTAATATTCACTGTTCATTTATAAAAAGGATACTGTACATCGGCATGATATAGAGACCAGGAGAAGATATCGCCATTGCAGCAAAACCAGCGCTTTCCAATGTTAATATTTATATACTCCAGAGTAAACTTCATGGAGAATCCGTTCGTCTTCAGTTGTTTTAACAAGAGTGCTGCTCATTGAACAAACATCATTAGATGCGTGTATTTCCGCAAGTCTGACATTGACTCCAATTAGTGAATGCGTGCAGGTCCGGCAATCCAGTGGTGACAGTTCATAAGGCCACCAAATTAACACTAATTTCGAGCACTTCACCAGTGACATATTATGGCCAGTAACGTTTATCCTCCATAGGGTTCTATATATAGAGATAGATAGGCAGGTATAAGACGGAGAATACTAGCAGCAGGAATCAGAACAGAAACGTGACGGAAGAAAAAAAAACATCAGTCAAGTCGAGATCCTGATCACCTCCTCAGAATCAGCAGACATACCGACGCTCGAGATCCGTCGTTTCGTGGACCCGCTGCTGGAGGAAACCGCCAGACCTCGGGGTCCCTCCGACAAAGCCAGCAGAGCAAGGTGTCCGCCAACGGTAGGACGGGCCTTACACAGGACCTCGACACCGGCCTCGTTTCCAAATTCCGATGAGGCAATGTACCGGTCCGAGAAGGGCCAGGTGTTCAAGCCGTTGGTGACGAATGCCCACAGGTCGTCGACAAACTCGTCGCGCGTGCGAGTGTCCAGGGTGGCCGCGGTCCAGATGTTCCAATCGGACTTGGCCCAGTCCATGTTGTTCTGCAGAGGGACGCCGTACTGCCCGCGGACCGTAGGGAGAAATGCGCTGCTCATGTTGTAGGAAGCCTCGGGGAAAAGGCCAAACTTGAAAAGAACGTCAGGATAGTGGTTGTAGGGGATCTTCCAGGTGGTAGGGTAAGTGGGATACTCCAGGGTGAAGTGCGTCTTGTTCGGATCGGTCCCGAGTCCTCCGTCATAGAGGAGATTGGCAAATGATGCCCCGACGTCGGAGTAGTTGGTGAGTCCTGTCAGCTCCCCAAAGGCCTTGAGACCAACGGCCGATTTGGCAGCGAGCCCCGTCTGGTTTGGGAGGGGGCCAGCGGCATCATTGGCGGATAGCTGGTTTGCCATGTTGATGGTGTTGTTCACGAGGTAGTCCGCATATTTCTGGAGGATGGAGGTGTACTCTGTGGCCCAGGTCGAGTCTCCCGTCGCCACTTTGTATGCGTACACTAGGATCAGAATGTTACCACTCTCCTCGATCGGCATCGGTTCATCCTGCTGGTCATTGTGGCCAGTGGCGTTGGGATAGTTACTGCCGAGATCATGGATCATATATGGCTGCTGCCACCCGCCCGTCGCGAGGTATTTCAGAACCGGGTCCAAGAGAAATTTGATCCAATCCGGGTCCAAAAGATAATAGATGGGGAAAGCGGGAGTGATGATATCGATCGTGTTCACATTGCCGTCGCTCGAGATCTCTTTGATAAAGGCCAGCGGGTTACTGGTGTCGAGCGAGTCGTTGGGAATGGTCAGATCGATAGCACCGTAGGCCTGTCGAACTGACAGCTCGACAATGTCGGAATAGTTGGAGCCGGCAACGGCAGTTGCTTTACTCGAGATGGCCGCATCCAGGGCTTCTGCTTCAGCAGCAGCGGCAGCGTAGTCATCCAGAAAATGAGCGACTGCCGATGGAGTGTCCTGATACTGAGAGCGGTAGTAGCCCGTGTAGGCTTCTCCAAGGTAGTTGATCGCCGCTTCTCGCACATAACCCACGGCAAAGGTCACTGACTGGTTGTCTGCAACGTTCCCCAGATCGTGCGCGAAGGCGACAACGTCCCCTGTGGACCACTCCGTATCAGAAGAATTAGTCAAGGACCCGTCCGCTACAAATTGGGAACGGACGGTGGTGGCATTCCCGAATTGCGTGGACAACACGGAGGTCGACGAAGGTCTGGAGGCGTAGATCACATCGCCCCAAAGAGCCTGATCATCAGATTCGGAGTAGAGCAGAGGATTCACCAGAGAGATTAAATAGAGGGACGTGGTCCCTGTTTTCGTGAGATTCACGACAGTGCCAGAAGACTGCCCACCAGTCCATGAGTCATCGATATCAGAATAGATCTGAACGGCCTGCGATGCGGCACCAGAAACGGTGACCGTGAGATAGCCTACGATCGATTGTCAACATTGGTATTTTCGTCCTATGGAAATATCCATCTTCTTACTGAACGGAAGTGACTGTCGCACATAGTCCCACGGCGCGACAGGAGACAGGAAATCCAAGATGAAGGTCGCAGAGCCAGCCTGGAGAGTGAAAGTTGTATGGGTGGACGTATACTGAGCGCTCAGGACCTCAGCAGCCTGGACATTGGCGACAGAGTCGGTCACACCGAGTAAGCTGTATGCAGTCCCGTTTACACGGCCAATGACGGACCAGGTGAGGTCGGTCCCCGTCCAGAACTGAGGCGAAGAAGAGGGCAGATTGGCCACCAAGTTGCCGGGGATCCAGGTTGACAGGTAGGGATTGCGCACGGCCAATGGATACGACGGCGGAAGGACAGGCTCGTACTGGATCGCCGTCACCAGGAGCACATGGAGCAGAATGCCCGCCAGCATGGCTAGCGGACGCTGGAAAGGAGGTCTCATTAATAAGGATTCTAAACAAATGGCAATCTGCTGATGTCAAGCACAGATGCTATTGCAGCACACTGGCAGTTGTGTTGGGAAGATCATGTACCTGCAGACAGTACATACAGTATGTACATGCATCAGCTGCAAAACAAACGCATCGAGTCAGGGCGTTCTTCCGACATGCGAGCGCCTCTGCTTAAATAACGAGCTAAAACGGAGAGCATCGTCCTGGTCCAGCAGGACGACCAGGAAGAGCGAGCTTGATTCCGGCATCGTCATGAATCTCCTCTCCACTCCATCCACATGGACGCGCACTGCATGGACTGACTCGGCGGGTCTGATATACCTCGACTGCTCGATCCAACCAGTTGATTGGAAGGATATCTACCGACGACGGGCCCGGCTGATCAGTGACGAATTGCGTCATGGCCAGGATCGACTTAGGCATGACTTTAGGCCATGAGTGCAGGTAGAAGCAGGCGTGCTGGCGGGAGTCTAGTATAAGAAGACAAAGAGCTAAACGGCAACTAGACCAGTCGGCGTCATGGTATCAGCGCCCCTCCGAATGGCGCGAGAAAGCGGATCAGTTGGCTGCGCTAATTTCCCCGCACAAGATCAAGACTTGGCTAGCCTAAATTAATCTGGGAGACAGGAAGAAAGAGAAGTAGATACCTGCCCAGCATTGACACACTGAGGAAAAGACGTCTCCTGATCTGATCTGGTGACAACGAGAGGTAGAAGATAGTATTTAATTTTAGACTAATCGTCTAATCTTCACTTTAGCGGATTATGCAGTTAAGAAGCTGTAGACCAAATATATATCTCAGAAGCAAGTCCATGTCGGAAAGTATCGGCCGAAGCCCTAGATTGTGTCTGCAAATCGAGTCAGTCAGTCACATGAGCCTGCAATATTGCATAAATCGAATTATCTCTGTAAAAAATTCCTTCCTTATGATTTCTTAAAAACAAAAAAAAAGTTAGTTAATTAATAAATTAATTAGTTAATTAAATATTCTAAAAAATTAACAGGCGTTTTTCCAAGGTCAAGTGACTCGAGTTGATTTCAACCGTATCTATAGTTAGACGGAGTACTCTGCACACTCCAGAAAGATTAAAAAAATCATCAGGCTATTTCCACCAAAGTTGTACTGTACTGTACTTAGTATGGAAATCAGAAGATAATTACCTATTATATGGCTTAATTTCTATTTTTGCGTAGTAATTTAGCATAATATCTGTTTTCTTTCCACGGAAAACAAAATGGAAAAAAAAATCTAGATAAATTAATACCATTATCAATTACATTAATCAATTTATTATTATTATTTACGAACTATAATAAGATGGTGTATATAGTTGAGACTTGCGGTGTAGGTAATTACTGCATTATTAACCCTTTCCTACTATATAGTCGTGATCATAGTTTCAGTCCTAGATTTGATTATAATACAATCCTTGCTATATAATTCTTGTTCTTATCATACTATGTTCTCTGCCAATCAAGTATTTGCCATTTATTTTTTTTCCTCACCCTGACCTTTTCTTCTTTTTTTCTCTCAGTAGAAAATCTCGTCCAGATCCATCGCATATCACAACGACAGGAACTATTATTACGAGTCATTCAGCAGCAGCGGAAGAACATGCCACTCAGTATAGTTCCACAGCATAAACGAATTATGCGTCTGGAACGCCGCACCGGTATAGTATGTGTTCCGCCGACCCTGCAGCGCATACAGCTTCTTGTAAAAGCCCGATTGGATCGCGCCCGGTGACACGGTCAGCTCGAACGGGACGTGGGCCTGGAACTGCACAAACTCGGGTTCCTGGCGGGTGTCCATGGTGGCGACGCCGGACTGTCGCAGTTGCCGGAGGAAAGCTATGATCTCGCCCTTGACGAAGTCGTCTGGGAGACTCGTTGGACTGCCGTACTTGATGTCGAACAGGCCCGCGATCACGGTTGGGGAGATGCTGTAGACCCCCGGTAATTGCGGCAGTTGCGAGGGATTGTCGGGACTGATGCTGATGACAGTGAGATTGTCTGGCAGTCCTGTATGACGGACGAGGCTGGTGTAGTACCCCGTGTGGACGAACTGCCCAAACAGAGCCTTCTCATTCGCATCAAGGTCAAAGCCAATCAGGTTGTCGAGCTTCTGGGGGATAGCGACAAGAAGCTTCTTGGCCTGGATGGTCTTGTTTCCCGAGGGAGTGTCCACGACGACTTTGACAGAATCATTCGCGCTGCGGTCGGTTGAGATCACCCGGCTCCGAAGAAGCACGTCCTGGCCGAGAAGTGCGAGGGCTTTGTCGTAAATCTCGTGGTTGGCCTCGTTGGCGGTGGTGAGCCAACCAATGCTGATATCCCGGACGACATCTGGGCTGACGAGTTTGAGCACGTACAGAGTTGGCTGGTACAGGGTATCGCCCAGCCCCTGGCCAAAGTTGAAAATGGTTGGCACAGCACTGCTGATGTTGGGATACTTGGCCACGAAATCTCCAAACGGCAGCACAAGATCCTCAGGCACGGGATCAGGAAGGAAGAAACCGGTCTCGAGATGAGGATATTTGGCCAACTGAGCGGCATATGCAGCCAGACCGGGGCCCGGGTCGGGGGCAGTGTGGTTGATCACCTCGCCGGTGTGGACGTCGACATAGACCGCATCAGCATCGGAGCCCAGCAAGGACGGAGGAGCCACTTTCCAGGGGATATCCAGCCGGCCCAAGTAGTCCTTCACGAGCTGCTGGTTGTCAAAGACGACGACGCCAAGGTCAGTGGTCTTGTTGGTCGTGGGATCCCGATACGTCTGCGTGTGCCCGCCCAACACATCTTCCTTTTCGATCACCACCACCGACTTGCCCGAGTCGTGCAGACGAACTGCTGCGTAGGTCCCTGAGGAGCCACCGCCGATGATGGCGACATCGCGAATGATGACCTCGTCTGCGGCCTCGTTTGCGGTCTCCGCAACGAGTCTCAGCCAGGGAAATCCAATGGCGATGGATATGCGCTTCAAGAACGATGCCATGGCTTAACACTGCAAGGAGAGTAAAGAAGCTAGCAGTAGAGAAGAAAAAGGAAGATACAAAATGGAGGTCACGAGCTCATCACATGGCACAAGTCGGAAGAGATGTAGCTACGAGTCAGTAACCTCCATGTAGCTACTGTACAGCACATGCTGTGTTGTACACGCATTATCATAATGGACAGGACCTAAAATCTAGGCCATAGACGTGTAACCAGACGTGACACTTTTATGACAGTTGAAAAATGGAGCTCCTGACGAGGTCCATGGATCTGGTTTGGGATTATCTCTCATAGGAGAGACGAATTGCCAGCTTAATTTATGCCGCCCCTAGGTATGTAGATGCGAGGCTGGTTTTCATCAGATGAAACCGCAGCAACGTCATTGGATATCACAGCCAAGGCAGGAGTCCAGATGTGCATAGGTACCAGATAGGTAGATACCTAGGTATGTACCTAGGTTGTTACTGCGACTAAGACGGGATCTAAGAATTATATCCCATGGAGTATTCCACAGTTCAATTTCGCACAATAACTACAGATGGTATGGGATTCTAGCTGTCTTCAGCTAGCCGTATTCTAGTGCACAAGAAACCACGTGGCGTAGTAGAGCCACTGGTGAACATGTTAATATACAGTAGCTTCGTTTAGTTGTCCTCGTGCAATATTACGCAGATTAGGCTTGACTCCGGAAAAGCCGCAGTCCACCCTCTTCTGCATCTGATTCCGATCCCGATCCGTTACCGTCAGCCTCGTCATCGTCCTCCCCCAGCAGTCCGCTCGCTGTCCTGCCCAGCAGAGATGCAAAGAACTCTTCCCGCGCACGGAGGCTCCACGTGCCTCGGTCTTCGGGCGCCATGAAGTTCTGCAGCTTCTCGTGAACGTTGAATCGCATCTTCCGACCTTTAGAGGCCCTTGTGTCGACGACCTTCTTCACCTTGTCTTTGCGCATGCCCGACACCGGGTTCACTGGAAGCTGCACGTGCAGCGAATCGATCCCGTTGGTCAGGGCATCCGACGAAGACATGCGCTGTTCGACCAGGTCGCGGAGTAGAGATTGATAGAACACTGTATCATCGTAAACAGGCTCCTTGGGGGAGTCTGAATTTGCGCTGCTGGCCATCCGTGCCCGCTTAGAAGCCCGGTCTCCGGACGACTCGGAGGCAATCTGGGCGTCAAGGACCGCAGTGATCGTCTGCTGACCAGCTCCACTGCCACCAAGAAGCTTCCCTCGAGAGTTGGGAAGAGTTGCACTGGAGCCACGGACTTTGAGGGACCACTTTTCGAGGATGGCACGGCGATGGGACACCGAATCCGACTCGAGTTCGGCCATGCGCTTCCATAGAGATTCAGAGGACGTTGTAGCAGAGACAGGGGGAGGTCTCTTTCGCTTCTTGGACGGGTCCTTGGACTGGACGTCCGCCAGCGTCAGTCGTAACTCCTCCAGCGTGGACCACAGAGCCAAGGCGGCTGACTCTGCCGATTTGATGGCCTCTTCGTCCACGGTAGCATTGTCCTCCAAACTGCTAGGCAGTTCGTTGATGGCCATCAACCCCTTCTGCAGCTTGATTCTGGCATTGAGGAGGGCGTCAAAGGTCGAACGTTGCTGCTTCACAGCAAATCCCTTGGCTGCGTCTGCCTTGGCAGCTTGGGAAATAGTCGCAGCAACCGTCTTCTGGTCCGTGGCCATCAACCTCCGCAGCTCCTCGCGGTCATCAGACACAGGAACACCGTTAGGTCTGTGGGAATCATCCTCGTCGGAGTCTGAGAGATCGTCCGAAAGATCCTCGTCATCATCTGACTCCTCGTCTGAAGTGCTCTCGCTGCCCTCTTCGCCTGTTTCCATCCCATCCACGCTGGCGTCGTCATCTGCCGGTCGCAACGCTTTCTTCCTGGCCCTCTGGCGCTCTTTCTCTGTCACACTGTCCTCCTCTTCCGACTCTCCCGAAATATCCTCATCCTCTTCATCCAACTCCTCGTCCTCCTCCTCGTCCTCCTCCTCGTCCTCCTCTTCGGAATCTTCCTCTGAGCCTTCGAGGTCATCCTCGTCGGAGCCCCGTCGTCGGAAAGGGTCGTCGTCGCTGTCATCAGCCTCCAGGGCTTCTCTGCTCACACGCGCGCCAGCATACTCCTTTCCGAGTTTGATAGTCTCTGGTTTGCGCAATTTCGATTTTCTGTCTCCTTTAGTCAGAGTTTGTTTGCAGAAGACTGTGTTGAGCAGACAGATATCGACTCGACTCACCCTACAGCCTGGTAATGCTCCCGGCCCGCATTTTCGTCTACTTCGGACGCAGACTCGTCATCACTGCTGGGCGCTCCAAGGTCTGGGTCTTCCGGGTCGAAGTCTAGATAGAACGAGTCAGTCATAAACTGTACGAAAGGCGGAACAGGAGAAAGGTGATCGCGCAAATCAATTAGCACACCTTTTGGAGCAGGGTCTTCGAGATCAGCAAGCTGCTCTGCCAGGGTCGCCCCTGGCCGCTTGGATCGACCCATGATGACTGCCGATCGAGTCTATCTCAGCGACGTGAAGTTCTTGGACTGAGCAAGATGGCTCTCTCTGGCGATAAGAATTATTATTTTATTTTTCGGTCCCGAAACTTTTTTTGGGATGCGGGCTCGGGAAAAATTCCCCTTGCGGGTCCGCGCTAAGATCGAAGAGGGCAGGCGGTGCCGTGCCCCAGTTATCGCCGATGAAGTAATTCATGATAGCTGTTTGACCGTAATTATTGTCAACAATCAGTTATTACTACGTACCTGGAGAGGGAAAAAAAGGACCAGTTTCATGAACAGCGTCCTCCTGGTCTCATAGACACTTCTGCCTTCCCTGGCATTTGAGAATGCGCCAGCGGAGCTTCTTCTCCACGCTTCGCGCGCTGCAGCATGTCAATCCCTTAGTAAGTCTTCGCATACACAGGAGACTCTCCTATCTCAATCAACTTCATTCATTCCAGGATTTCGCGATTGCTAATTCGTTTTGGAGAGAGTAGGGATTACCGCGCTCCGGCACCCCGCCGTCATTCCCCCGCCGTCGCGGCCTCCCCGAGAAGCGCAAGATTCGCGATGTCAATAAAGTGATAGCCGTGTCGTCTGCCAAAGGCGGGGTTGGGAAATCGACTATTGCAGGTGTGTCTGTTACCTTGCAGAAGGCCTCCGAGGGGTGGAAAACTATGACTGACTGATTTTGATATCCTCAGTCAATCTTGCTCTCGCTATGGCTCGTCGTGGCATTCGGACAGGGATCCTGGACACAGACATTTTCGGCCCTTCCATTCCCACGTTGATGAACCTGTCTGGTGAGCCTCGATTAGATGAGAGTAAGTAGGTCCAGCTCCGCAGTTCAGTCCCTTGCTGAACGTACTTGTCATCGACTGACCCGCTGTGCCAATCAAGACAACTGCCTCATCCCTCTGACTAACTATGGCCTCAAATCCATGTCAATGGGCTACCTTCTCCCTCACACGGCAGATAACAACCCGTCCACGGATCCGTCCGCTCCTCCTCCGATGGATACCACACCGATCAGCTGGCGCGGGCTGATGGTCACCAAGGCGATGCATCAGCTCCTGCACTCCGTGTCCTGGGGCCCGCTGGACGTGTTGATCATGGACTTGCCCCCGGGCACGGGGGACGTCCAGCTGACAATCAACCAGGAGATAGTGGTCGACGGGGCGGTGATCGTGTCGACGCCGCAGGACATCGCCCTGCGCGACGCCGTCCGCGGCTTCGGGTTGTTCCAGAAGATGGACATCCCCGTGCTGGGCATGGTGCGGAACATGGCCTTCTTCGCGTGCCCGCACTGCGGCAACGAGACGAAGATCTTCTCCCACGGCCACGACGACTCGCCGGACGGGGGTGTCGTCGCGCAGTGCAAGCGTCTGGGCATAGAGTTCCTGGGCGACATCCCGCTCGACGCGCGGGTGTGCGAGGATGCAGACCGTGGCGTGCCCACGGTCGTAGCCGAGGAGACAGACGACCGCAGCGCCAGACGGAACGCATTTCTTCACATAGCAGAGAAGATCGCTCGTAAAGTTGGTCTGGAGTGGCGATAGCTACCCATCGGCCCTGCACCTAGGCGTGTACTGTACTGTACTAATATACCTAGTAGCTGAGAACGAACCCCGATGACTCATGGATGGATGGATGGATCTACTATAGAAGATGACAGCGAAGAGTCCACAAAATAGACATATATGTACACAATACACATTACCACTATTCATTCTGGACCATCATATATATACCAAATTATAAGACACCTTATTTTTTGTCCGCTGTGTGTTATCATTTCCTTTTTAGGAAATCTATTGCATTCCAAGATTGTATAACCAATCTATCAAGTCAGATGAGGTATCTAAATGAAGATGCAGCTAGCTGGCTATGATCTATCCAGAAAGGGGACCCTTATGTTAAGGGATAGCTAAAAATAAATAACCGAGAGGGGGGAAAAAAAAAGGAAAGCAGAAAACAGAGCACAAAAAACGAATGGATATCTCTGAGATGAGCACAGCAAGATAACAGGAATATCAGTGTATGCAGATAAAAAGGTGACTTGGAAAGTCTAGATGAATAGAAGAAGTCAAGTGTCTATATAAAATGGAAGAAAGAAGAGAGAGTGAGAGAGAGCTACCCTCCTCGTAAGAAGCCAAGAACAGCGGAACGAAAAGATGGAGGAAGAAGGAAGGGAACAGCCAACAATGCTTTATGGCGGGCAGGGTTTTACTAGATATATTATTCCTATGCAGAGGAGTGATAATCAGGGCGTATCAGCCTCGCTACGCAGCCCCTCAACCGAGCTGCTTGCAGGAGCCGATTCAGACCCTTTCTGATCTTCCTCCGGCGTGCTCTTTACTGGCTCGTCATCGCTCACGATGCGTATTTGGCTGCTTGACCGATTGTGATTTGCACGGGAAAGCTGTTCTGGTGATGACCTGTGCCGCGACAGAGACTCGCCTCGAGGCTTGGACGTCTTCTCGCTGACAACGTCGGATCCCGCTTGTCCATCCACGCTTATATTGCTGGTGTGCGGGACTTTCTCAGCCTTGGCTTGGCTCCTCATAATGGTTTTGTCGTGTCTGCTCCCAATCCTGGACCAGAGCATCATAGCATAGCTCTTCCGGGCTCGTTTCGGGCGCACAATGTCCATTTCACGCCGCCTGCTCGCCAGAGCACACGCAGGAGGCGATTCGCCATTGAAGCCGTAGTAGCCGCCCTTAAATTCCTTGATCCGCTGTCGCTGAACTCGAAGTTTCTCTGCGGCAAACTTCTTATCCCACGCCTTCTTCGCACCAAGCCATTTCTTGACAATGTCAGGATTGATCGCTCCTACTTTTGAGGGCGGTTGCTGGAGCGCCCGTATGGTCGAAGGCGGCTCGAGAGGGTAGGTCATACCATGTCTGTCGACTCTCTGTCGTATCATATGCTTGTGGAAAGGAGGAAGAGGATCGCCAGCCTTTCCCACAGACGCAGGTTGTGCCTGACGTTCAGGATCAGTCGCCGAGGACTTGACGCTTGCCGTGCTAGAGATGGAGGAGGTATCATCCTCTGGAATATCGATCTCGCCTTGTTGGGCGCGCGCCAGAGCCCAGGCCCCGAATTGGGCGATAGAGCGGTACATGAATTTAGCAGGTCGTGTCCAGCTCAGGGTGGGAGCGACGTGGCAAAGGTCGTCCCAGACTTGGAGTTGGACATAGGTTGGCTCGTATTTGTGGAGAATCTTCCTCTCCGGATCATACTCGTCCAGATACGCGTCATTTGGAGGATAGTCCGCAGGATCTGCCGCCTTGTGCGCCAAGTAGATTTGCTCGTCCCGGAGCAGCTCGCCTCCGCCGGTGAGAATGAGCAGCGGGGGCAGCCCTCCCAGTGATGGCTGCAGAACAGGAGACACGAGAGGATGCGATAAGAGCTGGTTGGGAGCGTACATCTGGATCTGATCTTTGATTTCGACCACAGTTCCGTCCTCCATGGGCACGACGAGATTATCTGCCTCGTTAGCCAGAATTTGTTGCGTTTTCACCGGTTCCAGGCCACTCTGGAGCCCAGGGTACACTAGATGTGCCGCTGCAGTAGCAGACTCCCGGACAGCAAACCCTTGGACCGCCGTCTCGGAAGCAGGACTTTTGTCTTCACGTGCACTGCTATCTTCGTCGGTTTTATCGGTCGTATCTCGCCCTGCTCCTTTCCGTATCGCCATGAGGTCATCAGCATTGGGAGGCGGCCACGCGTGAGATGGCCGGTGCATAAAGCCGTGCTCGGGGATATAGTCGAGGGAACTTCCCTCCGCCACGCTTGGAAACGAGTGGGTGAGATCGACCCAGGGAGATATGAGAATGGCACCGGCCGGTAAAGGTAGACCACGGTCACGAAGTATGACGAGCATGCTATTCGCGATCATGAGCAGTTAACTATTTTCTCAGGGCGTCAGTACTCACGAGAGAACCATGCCACCACCAGCAGAATCCCCTGCGAGGATGATCTCGGAAGGATCCTGCATCGTCAGAAGATAGAGATACGCGGCCAGGCAATCCTGCAAGCCACATGGGAACGGGAACTGGGGTGCCAAGCGGTACGATGCTGCAGCAGGTTAGGAGAGAGGTCTGCTGGGAGAACAATCTTAGTAGGCATTTCAACTCACTAGGTCGATCGCTATTAGCAGGGAGTCTCCTGACGTCGAGGGATTCAAACGTACCGTGCAAAGACTCTGGCCTTGAGCTTTCTGGCATGGCGCTGCATCTGATATCGATGCGTTTCCAGGCTGCCAAAAAAGTAAGCACCACCGTGGACATAGAGCATAACCCGTTTGCAACGAGCGCTGGTCCTTTTCCGGGCATGGTAGTCGCTCCTCATCTCGATCCATTCCGCCTTTAGGTCATCATCTGACGGTCCGCGCCACTGCCACCATTGTTTTCCACCTACGCGGAGCACGCCTCGGGGTCCCAATTGATCAATGATGGCGGTCGCGGCTTCTGACAGGTATTCGCTGGGGATGGTTTCCTCCTGGGTCTTGACCCAGTGTGGTGTGGGGATCTTCTGGCTCGTAAAGGCCTGGACATCTTCGACGGTGTGGTAGGCGGCATGGTGGAGGAATTCTCGGATGATGCTGAGGCCTTCGTCGTAGGATACGTGGGCGGTGGGTTTGTGACGGCGTGGTTCACGGTCCAGATACTGGAAACATGTTAGCAAAGCTGTACACAGTTCTCTCGTTTCAGGTTGACAGTGCACTTCAAAATATATACAACTCACGTGAGAAAACCAAGTTGCAATAAGTGGAGGAGTTAAATGGGCACCAACACAAACTGTGTTGAGGTGCATCTCGACATGAAACTAATGCCGTAGTGCTCTGCGTTGAGCGTCACATGGAATCAAACAGAGGCATTCGGTACGAGGGACTCACAGGCAACGCAAACAAGAGAGATAACTAGACTATGTATATGTATGCAGATAATGAGAAATGGATATTCGACTAATTATGTCAACTGGTGAGGAACAGGGAGCGTCAAAACACATGCGCTCGACGCAAACGGCGGTGTTGACTGCCAATTCTGCACGAGTCGTGGCATGATGTCATTGCAGGTGCAGCTCCCAATAGGGTTAGCGCCAGACTCACATGGCCCAAGCTCCTTATCGGCCAGAAGGAAATCGGTAAATACGAGTCCTCTGCTGTACCGTGTGGACAGTCGCTGCATGTGCGTCGTCTGAAGGATATCCGTTATCTGTTGACATGGCTTGATATAATATCCAGAGCATCCGTGGCAGATCACACACAGATAATACGAGCCCAATATAGTAGTCCTGATGATGTTGCAACAACTGACGAAAAAGGAAAAAAAGGGAGGGGGGGGGGGGAAAGGAAAGTAGAGAAAAAAAGAAGAAGAAGAAGAAACAAAAACTGAAAATGGTTTTATTTTTATTAATGACAGCAGTAACAGTGGTAGATCTGCAAAAACTCGACATATAACCTGGGAACTGGCGAAAGCGGATCATTCAAGCATAGCGTCGAGCTTAGCTGCCACGTGCCGGATCCCGTGGCATGTCACATGTGGGATGACATTCATCAGCCTTGGATCGCGCTGCAGATGTCTCGATTTGTCAGCCAACTCAAGCTGTCGATAGAACTCGATGCTTTGAATCGCCAGCAAAAGCACTCGATTTCATCCTCGAGTGGGTTAGCTCCGGATTGAATTCCACTATAGTGAAGTTCCCCCTTTGATCGGACGAATTCACTGTCCACCGCCATCATGGCAACCGAAACCGCTTCTGTTCCTCCCACCATGAAAGCCTGGCTCTGGACAGATGCCACCGGTGGTCTCGAGAAGAACCTCTACCGGTCCGACTCGGCGACTCGGCCCGGCCAGACACTGCACAAGGACCAGGTCCTCGTGCAGGTTATCTCCACGTCCCTCAACCCAGCTGACTACAAAGTGCCGGAGATGGGACTCGTCCTCAAGCTAGCTGTTTCGACGCCTGCATCGCCGGGCTTGGACTTTTGCGGCCGGGTCGTCGCAACGGGACCTGCGGTGGCGGCAGAGGGGCATAATGGCATGAAGCCAGGCCAGCTCGTGTTTGGCTGTCTGAATCCGCCATTGCAGTTCGGTGCGCTGGCCGAGTATGTCGTCTGCCCGTCTAGTGTCCTGGTGCCGCTGCCTGAGGGCGTCGATCCGGACCATGCAGCAACGATTGGAATTGCGGGCCAGACCTCATACCAGGTCATCCAACCCCAGGTCTCCGAGGGCGATCACGTCTTCATCAACGGAGGTTCTGGTGGATGTGGGATATACGCCATCCAGATCGCAAAGACACTCGGGTGCCACGTCACGGTGACCTGTTCAACGCGCAATATCGAGTTGTGCAAGGACCTGGGGGCGGACGAGGTGATTGACTACACGGCGACAGACGTCGTCCAGACGCTCAAGCACAAAGGCCCCGTGTTCAGCCTCGTGGTCGACATGATCGGGACGCCGGACGATCTATACAGGGAAAGCCATCACTTCCTGCTTCCCGGGAAGCCGTTCGTCCAGGTGGGCGTTGCGTCGATGGTCACGGCGGCAGACCGGTTGCTGCGGCCGCGATTGCTGGGCGGCGGGCAGAGGCCGTACCAGGTCGTGCTGTTTAAAAACCGGCAGGACCATCTCCGCCAGCTGGGAGAGTGGATTCAGCAAGGCAAGATCCGGGTCGTGCTCGACAGCACGTTCGAGTTTGACGACGCGGTCAAGGCGTTCGAGAAGCTCCGGACGCAGCGAGCTCGGGGCAAGATTGTTGTTCACGTGAGCCCGAAGCCGTGAGGTTGCTATCAGAGTTTATAATTCAGCAGTACTTTCAATTTCTCTTCATTCTCTCTTGGAAAGTTACGTATATTGTACCTAATATGTATTCTTTATTTCGGTCAGCTAAGTCAGTTTCTTTTTATTGCCTTTAATAAGAAAGTACGACAGACCAATAATACAGTTATTAGCAGACGATCTTTTCTCAAAGGGTATCAACCGTGCATGACACTTGGTGCTGATATATATATTCGACTCCTTTTTATTTTTATTCAGCATCTGATGCGAATTACCGGTTCATCCATAGTGATCACCCCCAGAGAAGGCAACACAAGAAGCACAGTAATGTAGGTAGTACCAATCAATACCGGTATCTGCCTAGGTCAAGCGCATAGTAATAGATGCGTGCATCCATCCGCTGTACTGTAGTACATGTTGCAGGTTCTGTACGAAGCAAATGTACGTACCGGGTACTACTAGTGTAGCGTAACGTACAGAAATGGACTGACAATTAACCGGTAATCGATCAGGCAGGTAGTATTACCTAGTGCAACTGGTCGTACAGAACAGACAGTACTTGCCCTGAAGATGAAGATGACAAGCAATGGCTAGATTCTTTTTTTTTTTTTGCTTCAATTCCTAGAATTACAATCTCATTGATTAACCATTATTGCATGCCCATTACGTAGGTACATACATACTTTACAAAAGGTTCTGTTTTGTTTTGTTCTAGCTAGCTCCCTTCATCCATCCACTAGCAATTTCCGTTCATCCACCGTCCCCCATAATGAACTCTCGAGAGAGTGGAATCAACTCACACTCTCTTTACTTGGCACTCCGCTTTTGATTTCCGTTTTTACATCATCACCCCCTTGTTCTGCTTCTTGTCGACGCGGTAGTTCTTCCAGATAGCAATTGCGGGAATCCCCAGCGCCAGGACCGCCGTCGCGGCAATGCTGTTGTATTTCTGGCTGTACCCCCACGCATAGTTGATCGCGTCTCGCACCGGAGAACCGACCGGGTATTTCATCTGTGCGAGGTACCCCCCTGCGTAGATGGTTGCCGCATCCCCCTTGGCGCTTTCCGGGAGTTTCTGGTTGAGGCCTTCCAGGAAGGTCCCCGAATAGATGGCTCCAGACACAGCAGAACCGATGGATCCCCCGATACTGCTGGACAGATACAGGAGCGACAGCATCATTGGCACACCCATGCGGTCTGCAGCCGCCATGACTGCCATTTGCTCCCCAATTACCAGGGTGCCGCCGGCAAAGGCGATGAAGATCTGACACATGATGATGTAGCCAATGTCGTCGTCTTGGCCCCGGAAATGAATCATCAGGCCAGCCCCCAGCAGCAGGAGCGGCAGGCCGAAGAACAGACAGGTGTACTTGAAGTGCTTGGTGTAGCGCACCCACAGCCCAAAGACCACAGACCAGAAGCAGGAGCCGACGTTGTAGATCTGGGTCATGTACCCGGTCATGGCCGTGTCCAGATTGTAGACCACCATCACAAAGTAATAGAAGTACTGGTCCCATGCGTAGAAGCTGAAGTAGACGACAGCCGCCAGACAGCAGGCGCCCAGCACAGTGCGCTGTTTGAAGAGTTCCCAGCGCACAAAGTGGGTGCGTGCAAAGAACCTTTCCCAGGCCGCAAACACAAAGAAAAGGCAGAAGCCGATGACGACCATGGCGATGAAGGTGGCGCTGTGGTAGGCAGCTCGCCCGTAGGTCTGCAAGCTGAATGGCAAGAGAAACAGGATAAACGCGGCCATGAGCAAGAAGGCGCCAAATAACTAAAAAAAAAAGGTTTATATCCGTTAGTCCTGCATGGATGGATCAGCTGCAACTCTGCATGGACTTACTGTCGAACTCATGGATGTAGTGGATGATGGACTGAAGCACCGTCCGGCCACTGGGCTCCCTGCGGTACAGACCCATGCTCTCGGCCTTTTTCTGATAGAACTTGAAAACAACCGCGAGGGGTACGAAGACAAAGGGCATGATAATGGCAAAGGCGCCGTAGGCCCAGCGCCAGCTGGTCATGGCCAGGAACGACTGGGCCGCCAACGGGCCGGTAAAAGCGGTGCAGATGAACGGGGTGCTGGCAAAGCCAAAGGCGAACGCACGGTTGCGAAGGCCCGACGTGTCCGCCATGAAGACGTCCAGGATCAAGTAGATGGCGTCGTAGCCGATCCAGTACAAGACATATCCCGCGGCGTAACCATTGGGGCCGTTGCACGCAGCGAGAACGATAATGCCCAAAAGGTAGATACCTACGAAGAGGAGAAAGCCTTCAGCACGACCCCACAAATTGAGGGTTTTGGCAATAGGCAGCTTGAGGACACCACCGATGATTGTCGCCAGGATGTTGGCGGTATTGACAGCGGGAGCGGTCTTGAAGTTCGAGTAAGCGTAGTAGAGCACGTTGGTGCCAATCGACTGTTGCAGGGCCAGCATAAAGAAGCACACCCAGATCCTGATCGACCCGTTAATTGGTGAACACGGGACCGATAAATTCGAGAAGCTGGAGAGACGGATGTAGTACTCACCAAGCATAGGTCGCGTAGACAGCCTTCTTGCTCCACACCAGCGCAGCAGCCTCTGCCTTCTTGACACCGATGTCTGCATACTGGGTGACCTCACCAGGGTGAGCTTCGATCTCCTTCTCATTCTGGGCCTCGAGGCTCAGAGTGTCGGAGTCGGTCGCGACATGGTCCTGAGAGACACCGGCCTCATGCTTGGGCTGAGGATCGTCAGACGAGACGACGGCCTCAGCAAGATGAGAGTCATTGCGACCACGGACGAAGTCGAGGACACCCATGGTGGCAGGCGAGGCGAGGACAGAGGCACGAAGGACGAAGAGCGAGAGCGAAGGACGGATGCAGGCTCAGGGACGAGGAGGGCGCCTGCCTGGATATATATTCGGCCAGGAAAATTTCCCGCGACAGGGCCCCTCCACGTGGACCTGTCAGCCTGTCACCACGAGGCAATCGAGAGCGCCGATTCCACCAGACGAGCGACTTTTTTCGATGGATAGAGCCCTTGGCGTCGGATCAGATAACTCTGGACGGATCAGATAACGCGTGCGATCAGATAAAACCTTCACCCGCCGGCTCGTTCGTCCAATCGAGGCGACGCTGGCTTGAGACGGCGCGGTCTTGGCCAGTGACTACGCTGTCTAGAAGCACGTCGCGCTGGAATTCCATCTGATAATAATTTCCCGCGCCCCACTGTGCGGTGATACACGAGTTCTCTACAGTCCTTAGCCTGAGTCTCCTACGGGATGTGACTACGATGGGGTTGCAAGGTCGAAGTGAATCAAGCAGGTAATCTGTTCGGAGACCGTTTCCTCTGATGAAAATTCCCCTCTTGTGCGAAGCTATTGGCACACTGTGTAACCCAAGTAACCTACATAACTGCCATGAACCCAGCCCACGCCAAGCTGCACAGAAACACCGTGGGACAGCATCGGCCCACCAACGCGCTGCTGCATCCGGATTGGTTCCGATATCGCTCTGCTGCCCGCCTCCGCCTCTCATGCCCGATCAGGCAAGTCAAAGCAGCAGCCTGGCAGGTCCGAATGGGATGACAGGGAGGAGCCCTGATGTGGAAGAACCCGGCCAAGTTTCCAACCATCCAAATCTGCTGTTGGTGAGGTTTCTTTACTGCCTTGTGTATTTCCGTCTGGTTGGCGTGTCGACATGCAACACTAGGTAGTTTAGGTGTGAATCCGTCATGCTTAAATAGTGTTTAATACTAGAAACCAGAGCTATATATGGGAAATATATTAAATAATATCAGTACCTATCAAACAGGTATTATATTAAATGGTCTACATAATAAAGAAGTAGTCTAAGCCTCCACATTAGTCTTTCAAATTTAATATAATTGAAGGGTTATCACATCACAACAGCGCCATCCATCCTTTTAACAGATATTTCTAGGTAATTTGGGGGTCTCATGGGATATATAGTCTCTTAAACTGGCTGGTCACCTGGATGATATTGAAGCTTCAGGAATATACCAACTGATTAGGTAGAGTCAATGCACAGCCATAAAAGCAGCTCCATCCATTCTTCTGACGCAGAAAAGGAGTTGAGACTGTGTGTGATTATCGACTCTCCTCATTTCTGCTGCTGGACCGCTCTTCAATCTCTGAGTTATTTTGGCCGCTGGGGTCTTCCCCCTCGCTCGCTTGATTTTCTCCACACTCTTCCATCTCACCATCCTGACCTCTTGAATTCTCCTCGTTTCTCTCCCATAGAGCCCTCATATGCTGACACATCCGTTCCACGACCGATTCCACCTCGGACTCGGAAGGGGTCTGGTTGTCCCAGTCGTCTTCGACGTAATCGTCCGAGTCCCACTGGCAGGCCCGTTTGTACCTGCGGTCGTCTGCAGTCTGTTCGTCGTCCGGACTGGTATCTTCCCGGCGTCTCTTTGAAGGTTCCGTGCTGCCATTCGGCCCGTCAAGAGCCGAGTCTTCCGCGTCTGAACCCGTGGCATGAAACAGTCTGAGAGGCAATGGTGACAAACGGGTTCTCTGGAAAGGTGCACCAGGAATAGGGATGAGTTGGCAGAAGGAGGAAGTAATTCAAGGTGACTGACTAGTCAATAGAACGGAGGTGCGGCGGAATTTAGAAGGCTCAGTGTAGGGACTTGCATGATGGTGCATGACGGTAAACATGGTAGCCGAGGAGCTTAATGCGCTGACATCACAGACAGCAGCTGGCATTCCTGCTATACCAGCATTTCAATGCGCTATATTGACTGGTTCTGAAAGATGTCTAGCAGAGCTTGTGACAATGTTCTTGAAATTCACAAGAGCCTAGTAATAATCCCGGTGTAATAAATACGGATTTCCTACTTAGGTAGAATGTAGATAGTTCCATCCAGAGCCTGTCGCATTCAACCAATCGCTTCCAAGGTGACTTCCTTTTTCGCCCGCATGCTTGGTACATCTCTCGACAAACAAATCGATTTCTACGACGTCGACAACGAGCGCTCGGCATCAATGCACTGCCTGCTGTTGGAACTAGCGGAAAGTTGGCGAATCTCCAACAATACAAGCCCTAGTAAGGGCCTTTTCTTCTTGGAAATGGGATGACTGTACGTCGTGTCCTCGCTCTGCACCACGGTCAGCATCGAACGCGTTAAACTCTCAAGAACACCACAGCAGCACGCCAACGACAGCAATTGAGAACCCCCATCTACGCAGTCTGCTCAGCGATCCAGAATAAATGTGAAGATCAGCTTTAGCAGAGGTGACACGCAAATGAAGATGGATCCATTACGAGATTATGCAGTCGGAGGCCAATGCCACTCGGACAGCTGGATTCAAGAAATCAGGCTTCTGTCGGTATCGCCAGCTTGCAACTTCTGCGATTTCAGAACAATAACAACAGGAGCAGCGACGGCAACGGAACTGGTACTCCAAAGACAGAAACAAAAAAAAGCAAAAGACATCAACACAGAAATAAACTGAACTGCACTCAACCAGCTTCTTTACTCTTACAAAAAAAAAAGAAAAGAAAAGAAAAAGAAAAGAAAAAGAAAAAGAAAAAGAAAAAGAAAACAGAAAAAGAAAACAGAAAAAACAACTTATTCTGAGTCGACCAGCGACTCTCAATGTCTCCTTCAGCAGATTCCATCCTTGCCCCCCTTCTCCCCCTCCTTCGTCCGTTCATTCGACGGACACCTCTACGACAATATCCGTCGTAGAGGTGTCCGTCACCTTTCTGTTCGCGGCCTCCACAAACTCGTCCCTCTTCTCGAGGGCCCATTCGCGCAGGTTGCGGAAGGCCCCGACGCCCTGCCGGAAGGCCTGCCGCGACCTTGCCACCGGCCACGCCCCCAGCTCGTTCATGTGGTAGTCGCTAGCTCTCTCCTCCGGGCAGGTCGATGGTGCAGCGTGCACCGCGTACAGGCGCAGGGTGCCATCCTGGTAGGTTGCGGTGATGGCGTAGGCGTTCCTGTCATGCCGGCGCGCATCGGGGCCCTCGCCGTAGGATTGGAGAGAATGCATGGCTCGGGCCCCGAGCGCGCCGGCATGAAGGGCCTGCCGCCTCAGGATGGCCGCCGACTCGGTCGCTCGCGTGGCCGATGCGGTGAAATTGGGCAGGATGCGCATCGGGTACTCGGTCGACGGGAGGATGACGGCCCCCAGCTCGCTCCGCATGCGTGCGTCGAGCTGCCCTGCCCGGCCGCCATCGTAGGAATTCGGCCGGGCAAGGGCAAGCTTGGTGTCGTCGTCGTCGCCAGCGGGGATGATGGGCTCCATGTTGTCGAAGGCCCGATCCTCGACGTGGAGGATGGCCCTGTTGCCGATGCTGTTGTCGCCGTCCCCGCGCAGAGTCGGGAAGACACTGCTCGGGGCATTGACCCCCCTTGACGCCTGCGCGTTGGTGCGCAGGAACTTGTCGAACTCCTCACGGCCGAAGTTGTCGGACGCGAGCGACCAGCGTCGCCGCGCCATCCTGGCGATGATGGCATCCCAGTTGCCCGGCCGCTCGGATCCCTCGGGGTGGATGCCGTTGTCTTCCATTGCTTGTTCAAAGTTGCGGTCATATGCCGCCTCGTCGCCCAGCATGGTGGCTCTCGGTGGGCGCACCGGAGGATTGGGCCCGTTTTCATTTGGGTTTTCTTCCCACCAGGGGTCCGGGAATCCGCGGAGATCGGTGAGGTCGGGACCTCCGTGCCTCGAAAAGCGCTTCAAGGCACGGAGGTCCTCGACCGGGAGGTCCAGTAGAGAAGGGTCGGGGCGAGGAGGATGGGGAGGCTTTGCGGTGGCGGTGCGGCGATCGACCTCGTCGAGAGCCCTTGGGGTCAGCCAGACCTTGGTCAGCCGATCCCAAGAGTTGCGAGGGCGGGCAGGCGGAGGAGAAGCGTCTTTGGCGGTGATTTTGGCCTTCTTGGTTGGGCGCTGCTCGGAGGCAGTGGACGCACGGCGTTTTCCGGCCATTTTTCGGCAGACAAAAAGAGCGATGGGATTGTCCGTGAAAAAAAATATGAAAGATGTGAGATTGATCAACAGCGGCCCAGGACCTGCCTGGGAGAGAGCTAATCTGGAAAGAGACAAGAGAAGGATAAGAAGAGATGGCAAGAAATTTCAACGAAAGAGATGAATGCTGACCAGCAGCAAAATGAAGAAGCTGTGAGCGAGAGATGAAGAGAAGTTTGAATTCGCCAGCGAAAACAGTGAGAATGAGAGTAAGTGTGAGAGCGTGAGATGTGATGAGAGAAGAGAAGAAGAGAAGAAAATAAGAAAGAAGGGAGAAAGAGACGAATTTATAGGTTTGTCGGGGCTGTCCTGAAGGTCAGTAGCTATACCATTCACTTAATACTGGACATGAATTGATCCTTACTATGATAGTATATGGACATCTGCTTCACTGCTACAGGATGACTGGATGAATGGGCTATTATCCATGATTGATCAATAGCTTAATATATTATTCTACCAAGAAATCTAGTGAAGAGGTCAGTCTGTCAAAATCAGTTGACCCAAACTCAGCAGTTTAAATGCTTTCTACATATCTATTGTATTGCGCCTATTTCCCAGAAGCCAATATATAGACAGTCACTACTACCTCAGAATACTTATTTTTTTTCCTCACTGGATATATTCACCATTGTGTTCCACTGTCACAAGTAAATTCACCTCACAAGGGATCCTGGCATTGAATGAGGACATAGTCTCCATGTCATCAGTGACAAGTGGACAACTGCTCTCCAAGAGAGGTATTCACTCTGACTGGATGAGTGGATCTCTTCATTTGTCCACAATAGACGCCTATAACATTGACGAGTACACCCAAAAATTGCCTCTCCAGCAGTCATCGAGGGGATACTATGCAATATATTCATCATTTTTTTTTGAAAAAAAAAGACATGTTATCTACAATCCTAGAATAATAGTAACTGTTAGTAAAGTTGAGGTTCAAGCGGGGTGATTGGCTAGACAGATAAATAGATAGATTGATAAGATAACACACACGATAGCGGCGTCCAACTAGAAAAAAAAATTTCGGAGCAATCGATCAAGTGCTCAACAACGACCACCGCGAACCATCTCAATCTGCTGCTGCGTTAATAACAGAGATCATCTGCTTTTCTCAATTTCTATATTATAGGCAGTTCTATCTACTCTGCTCTGCCCTGCCCCTTCCCCTATTCTGGTTCTGCCTCCGTCGACTCTGCTGCAGGAGGGGAAGGACTCCCCGCAAAATTTCTCCGAGCGCGACGCAAACCCGCACAACGCCCATGGGCCTGTGAGTTTTTGAACTCGCAAACAACTCGCAATCGAGAAATAAACGACTCTACCGCATCGATAAAAAAATCAACATGGCAGACTCGACAATAAACCCGGCTCAACAACCACAAGCAGACGGTTCATCCGCCGCCGCCGCCGCAGCAAAAGCATCCTCACAACTCGACCTCGGGATCTCGCTCGCGCTGCACGCCTGGCCGGCGCTCACGCTCGCCGTGCAGTCGAACTGGGGAGGTCCCAACTCGTCCGACAAACGGGACTGGTTCTGCGGCGCCATCTCGGACCTGCTGCAGGAGCGGCCGGAGACGGACGCGGAGGATCTGGAGGAGGTGCTGATCCAAGTGATGAACGACGAGTTCGACGTGGTGGTCGACGACGGCAGCGCGGCGGCGGTGGCGGCGCAGATCATGGCTATGAGGGAGCAGACGGCCCGCGGCGAGTTTGGCGAGATTCAGGCTATGTACCAGCAGTGGAAGGAGAAGATGGATAAGAAGGGATCTGCTGCGGCGGCCATGTTCCAGAAGGTGGAAGCCAGGGACGAGGATCAGGAGACGGACGATGATGAAGATGACGATGAGGAGGAGGACGACGACGGCGACGAGGACGTCGAGATGGACGAGGCGCCCGCGTTGCCGCGCGCACCCAGACAGAAGGTCGAGCCGGAGGTCGACGAGGATGGGTTTACCAAGGTCGTCGGGAGGAGAAAAAGATAAGCGATGGGCATGGCATGGCACGACACATTTTTCTCTTTTGTACAGAGTTGATATGATTGTGTTTGTTTTCGCATATACCATCGGGTTCTGGGTTGAGTTTTCTTCAAGAGTCTTTTACAGTTAAATGCATTACACATCTCATTTGGAGAGATACGATACTCAAAAAATTAGAAGTTCATGATATGACATGTTGACAGTCATCGGCATTTTCCCGAACAAGAACTAGTTTCGAGAAATCTATGACAATCCGTCATAATCATCAACGGCAACAGCAATGAAAGGAAAGCCTTCCCCCATTCCGTTCCCGGCCCGCATAGGGATGGTTTTCTAGTCTTCAACGACTTCTGCATCCATATGTACTGGGCCAACCAGCCGTCGGTGTGACGGCATCCTCGGCTATGCATTTCATCCAATAGACACCGATGTATCCTTACGCGTTCTCCTCGTTGGTGATAAGCTTGGTGATCATACCAATCGCAATGGTTTGTCCCTGCATATGGAATATCAGCATCAGCTCGAATGAGAGAGAGACACATCAAGTCCTACCTGATCACGCAGCGTAAACCGACCGAGTTGGTTATAATCCTCGAATCGCTCCACACATATCGCTCCCGCAGAGCCAGTGACTTCGAGACGCGCGATGATAGTCTGGCCCTTGCTCGCGAAAGGCGGCGGCCGCTTGCTCTTGCGGCCCGTGCCAGGCTCCAGCTTGTGCAGGAGAGCAGCAAACGTAACTTCTTCGATGGCAGAGTGAACGTGAAGCACGCAGTTGTAGCCGGCAGAGAGAATGCTCTTCAGCTCCAAGATTCTGATCTTCGCCTCAAATGCGGAGACACAGTGAACCGGACGCTTGGGAGAGCACAAGACAAAGCCTGGCAGGATATCTTCTTCTTCAATGCCTCGCAGACGGATCCGGACCTGGTCACCACACGAGGCGGTTTGAATCTCATCCTCGGTTTCACCGTAAAGGGCCGCCACGGTAACTTCCTCCTTGTTCGGCATCATCAAGTAGGTGCCGTTCTTCTTGATCACACCCGATTCGATGCGTCCTTCAACCACAGTACCCATATCGCGGTACTTGGCGCTGATCGGCATCATGAAGGGCGCGTTCACCTTGCGCTCAGGCATCTTCATGTGGGTAAGATACTCGAGCAGTGACGGCCCATCATACCAGGGCACGAGGTCTTTGGGTACCCGGTCCTTGATACCGATAGTCTTTTGAGCAGAAATAGGCATGAACGTAAGATCCTCCTTCTTGTAACCCAACGCCTCCAGGAACTTGGCGACCTTGGTGGTACACTCCTCGAATCGAGCCTTGCTCCACTCCACCGTCGGGTCATCCATCTTGTTGACCACCACGACCAGCTTCCTGACACCCGTGTTCCTGGCCAGGAGAGCATGCTCCCGAGTTTGGCCTCCCTTCTCGAATCCAGTCTCGTACTCTCCCTTTCGGGCCGAGATGACGAGCACACCCACGTCTGCTTGGGACGCGCCTCCAATCATGTTGGGAACGAAGGACTTGTGACCCGGAGCATCCAAGATTGTGAAGTGGCGCTCGACAGGGCCATCGGGACCCTGGTAGGTGGTCTTGAAGAAGCCTCGTCCGACCTCTACCGTCTTGCCCTTGGCCCGCTCTTCGTTGGTCAGGTCCAAAGCCCAGGACAGGTACCAAGTCTCACGACCGGCCTCCTTCGCATCACGCTTGTACTTCTCCAACGTACGCTCATCCACCATGCCGGTCGCGTACAGGATCGAACCTCCCAGGGTCGACTTTCCAGCATCGACGTGACCGATAAAGACGAGGTTGACGTGCTCCCGTTTCTCTCCGTAAATTTCTCTCAGGGTCTCCTCATCAACATCGGCTTGCTGTTCCTTGGCAACTGCATCGGCATCCCGAGCGACTTTGGCACCTTCGGCGCGAGCGGGGCTGGATCGTCCTGGGCTAGAGCGACCGGAAGAAGGGGCAGGAGAGGCCTTTCCGGCGGCAGCGGCCTTCTGTTCTGCTTTCTTCTCGGTCTTCTCAATTGCTTTAGCAGCAGTCACCTTGGAGGCAGCTTCGGCAGCGGCAGCTCCAGGGGTGTCACCAGGAGCGATAGTAGTCTGTGTGGCAGGAGTAGATTTGCCGGATGCCGCAGAAGACGCCTGGTTACCACTGGAGGCAGCTTTAGCCTTCGGGGCCGCAGCGGTTTCAGCACCGATCGACAGGACTTTGGCCTTGGGTTGAGCAGTAGAAGAAGCATTTGAGGCAGGCTTCGACGCCGCGGGAGCGGACTGTGTGGCTGGGGCATCAGACGCAGGAGCTTTCGGTTTGTGCTGCTGCTGTGGACGCTGCTGTTGCTGCTGTTGCTGCTGCTGCGGCTGCGGCTGCGGCTGCTGTTGCTGTGGCGGTTGCTGATAACCCATGCCTTGGTTATTATAGCCTCCATACTGTGCATTGTAGTACTGATTATAGTTGCCTGGTTGCTGGGCATACGCTCCGTATTGGCCATATCCTTGCTGGTCGTAGGCGGGATAGTAGCCCTGTTGTCCGTATTGTGCGTACTGGGGATAGCCTCCATACTGCTGGTACGGTTGGCCAGGGTGAAAGGCAGGAGCGCCAGGCTGGAAAGAAGCAGCCCCAGGATTGAAGGCTGGTGCCTGGGCTTGTAGGTTCGAGCGTCCGTTCAGGTTGACGCTCTCGGTCTGCTTGGAGAGCTCATCCTCCCAGTTGTCAGGAGTCTGATCCGCCATGGTGACAACGAACGAGAACGAAGAACCACAAGGCGAAAACAGAAAAAGGGAGGACAGAAAGCGTGTGAGGATGAGCCTCGCGGGGTGGAGGGCACAGCAGGTTCTAGTTTTCACAAAGAGGCTCTCTGGAGGCAGTGAGGGGCTTTGGGGCGCTTTGGCCCGATTAGATTTTGCACACGACCTCGCTGACTCAGCAGGTCTCCCGCCTCCGCGCGTCTACGGCGGTTATCAGGCGACCCCAGGCAGGCAGTTAGGTTGCGCTTCCACCAGATTGTACGTCATCGCGTCTGGAGCTGCCTTTCTGGGAGATTTGGTTTGATTTTCCATCCCTGACATCCCTTGTCTGGGCGCACTTCTTTATTCATATTTGTCTTCCATGGATGTGCACGTGCACTGGTGGCGGGGGATGGCTCGCTATCGATAGTCAGCACCAAGTATCAGGGGTAATAATACACTTAGCGCGGGCTGCTGGAGGTATATTTGTGTCAACTCTCGCGTTGACATCCTTCTCTAACCTCAAGAGGCAGCAGATCAGCCACAATGGAGGCCTTCTTGTCCAAGGTACGTATGGTTACCGAGCCCAGCTGCTTTAACGGCCCATTCTTATCATCACGTGCAGGTCACCCAGCAGGCGATGAACTATGCCATCCGGTAAGAGGTCCTCCATCCTGGCTGAATAATTCTGGGATTCTAACTTGGGATTCAAGCTCAGGGATCACAATCACAGCCAGTTATGTCATCCGGCAGTCATCGCGATTACTCAAGGTTTGTTTTGCGCGAGTTCATACCCTCCTCTTTACGGCAGATACCAACCATACAGCAGAATGTCAGTGGCACAGACCGGGCGGAGCTTCTTATCCTCCAGGAGAGGCTTCAGAGTAAGATTAAGGTCAGCAGCTTTGTTTTCTTCATTCTGTAGAATTTGACTGACATACCATTAGGTCATATCTCCTGCGATTGACATGATAGAGTTGATGTCAGTCACTGCCTTCCACTGTCCAAATTGAGGAATATGTTAACAAGAAGACAGTGCCGCTCGGGGAAACACATCGTTAGAATCAGCTGTGACTCTTACTAAAGCCCTTAGATATGACATCCAGTCCCTGGCACGGCGGTTGGACAAGGCAGCTACCACGGAAGAGCTAGCCAGAAAAGGCGCCATCTCAGCCAAAGCCCGAGCGCAAAATGATGAAGAAATCAAACGCATTATTCAGGACATCAAGAATGTTCTGGATCGAATCGAGGATGCTGTCCCGCTAATGAACTTAGCAATTACAACGTCAGGAGCAAGTCTGTCAACTAGCTTACCGTCAACTGTCTCACCCTCGCGTTTGCTACAGGCTAGCACCTTTCTAACTGCATGCGATACCCAGTATTCCATAACACCATCCAGGGCTGTACAAGTTGGCCCGACATTTACTTTGTCGATGTACATGCTCTTTACGAGTCACATGCGGCCACACGACGAGGAGAGCATCCGAGAGACAACTTGGAAAGAGGTGATGCACAAGGCACGAGTCAAATTGAGACGGGTACCAATGGACGTCTTCTTCGGTCCAGAACAAGGGAAGAGAAAGCGATCCCGTCTCCCCGCAGAGGCCAGAGCAGACGAGTTTGCATACCAAATTCTGATCGTCGAAGACTTGGATGATGGCCGCGTGCATACGTTCGACGAGAAAGGACCACAACCGGAAAGTTACGAGGGTGTGAGTCTCGCTGGTATGCGGGAGATTATTCCTGTTCACCAGGTATCGAAAATCTTTTATGCTGATACCGGGAAAATGCTCAACATCGGCAGTGAGGCCGAGACGAACAGTCCGGTGTTGCTACTGAAACGCGACGTCAACGCAATCCCGCCACGGCGCATGGTAGAGAGAGATGAAACAGAGTATGAAGACTTTGAGCGAGACTCTGCAGAGGAAGAGGAGGAGGAGGAAGAAGAAGATGACCTGCAATCCCAACTCGACGCACAGCTGAATGGGGACGTCAGTCTTTCCAACGAGCGCAGCTATTATGAGTCGTTGTCTGAGCGCCAGATACCAGAAGCTTGGAGACTGCCCCCAGGCCTAGACCCGGAGTGGCTGGCATTCGAGGTCTATCAAGAAGAGGACGAGGATGAGTCTGAATCAGAGACGGAACCGCCGTCCCCACCACGGCAGGCCTCTCGTGAAAGCTCGGTCGATCCGCAACTGATAGCAAACCTAAGCATCGACTCGAACGCAACACCGTCGAAATCATCACCGTCTCGGCGGGATAATCAAGTGTCTATGGCGTCTGCATCCGGGCCACAGGATCTCACATCGACCGTCTCGAATCCTCTCTTCAGTAACATCCGCACATCTCTCTCGCTCCTCGAAATGCTCCTCCGTCTTACGTCCCTGCAGCAGTTCCAGCAGCAGTCCCACCTGTCTATCACAGACGAGCTGCTGAACTTCTTCCTCGAAGAGTCATCCAGCACCGGCGCGGGCGGCGACGAGCAGCACCGTCAACGGCTCCGGGCCGAAGCCAGACGGAAAGTCGGGTGGGATCCGTACGACGAGAGCCCACTGAAACCGCGCGGGGAGGATTATCAATACCGGCACGGCGAGGACTGGATTCGCGAGAGCACGCCGGACCGGTATTACTATGCTGGGGGAGACGGATACACGCCGCTCCCACCAGAAGGACGACTTCCACCTGGAGAAGGGTACCAGATCCGGTCACGAGAACAAACGCCGGAATCTCCAGGGTTACCACGCGGAAAGCTTTCCTCACCTGGAGGGGGAGCGAGCAGACGCCCACCACCACCAGGAGCAGGAGCAGCAGCAGGTCGAAGATATCATCCAGGACCCTCATTTAGCAACGCAGAAGCCGCAATACGCAGGGGATCACCGCTGTCACGACGGCCGACAACCGCGGAGACGGACGAAGGACTCGGCACGAGTCCGGGCTCATTACACACTGCAGCCAACACTACAGCCAATACACCGGAGCACGCTGAAAAATCGGCTGATTCAGCAGCGGTGGACAGCAAGGCGGAGACAAACAAATAAAATACACAGTGGCCATGCCATAGTAAGGAATTCCTACGTAATGAGGATGTGATACGGCCAGTGATATGTAGATAATGACGACATGCATGATTGAGCATGAATGAATCTACGAATGAATAATAAATAAATAAACAAGCCTCTAATATCCTATCCTTTCCTATCCTATCCTAACGTACTCTAACCTAACACAACCTAACATAATCTAACCCAACCAAAAAAAAAAAGCTCTTAACTTAATCTTAAGCTGATGTAAGAGTAATTACTCCGTAAGTAAGAGTCTGAGACGACCCGATAATCAATCAGTCAATTATTAGAACGAACAAGTCAAAGTTAGGTAGGTATAATAAGCGGTTGGATCCATTCGAGAACATAAGATAATAATAATATAAGGTCAATAACAGAGAAACGCCAACAAAACAAGCACACACAGTATTGATTAAGGTCCCGACCGTGACGCCCAAAAGTTAACAAAAAAACAAGGAAGATCCACTACTAAAAGACGTACAGACGTACGAGGTTGTTACTTGCTTGTTATCATCTCGAGGGGAGGAAAATAAAATGAAATAAAATAAAGAAAAGGCATAGCCATGACGGTAGGAGAAGCAATTGCGTGGCTACTCCTATTCGTTTCAGAACAAATTCTTTATTCCCAATCCTCTTCATCGCTCTCGTCGGCTTTACTGTTGCTCGACTTCTCGCGAGGGCTGCCCGGAGTGCGGCTGTTGGCGCCGCTGACGAGATCGTAGCTGGACTCGCTGTCGGGCTGCGATTGCTGGTCGTTGGAGCGGCGCGGCTCGACTGGTTTCAGGGTATCATTGTCCGAGACTGCGAGGCTGGAGGAGGCGGCACTCTGTTTGTTGGATTTGACCTGGGGGGTCGAAGGGGAATCGGATTCAGAGTCGGAGTCTTCGTCCCAGCCGACTTCTTCTTCGTCTGCAGCACCTGTAGAGGAAGATTTGTTAGAATATGATGAATGCAAATCAATGGCTTAAGAATAGTCAAAATATACCTTTCAGCAACTCTTTGCGCTTCTTCTCCTCCGTCTCAACCACAAGGCGGAGGAAATAGTATCGGGACCAGAAATCTGCGTATTCGACCTTTTCCGGGACGAGCTTCTCCATTGCCCGCCGGAGTTCAGGATACGCCTCTAAATCCTTCGCAATGTCGTCCGTCTTGCTCTCCACGTTGAAATTCTGCTTGAAAGCGGGCCACTCGTCGCTGACAGGGTCCTTGCTGAAGCTGTCCAGGTTGGTGTGGATGACATGCAACTGCGCCTCGAAACGAGTGGCATGAAAAACCCGCTTGCCCTCGGAATCTTTGCTCTCGAAGAGCACCTTGTTCTTGTCGGAGGAGCTGCCCTCATCGGGAGGAGCAATGCTGACGGCATCCCGCAAGAAGTTGCGGATGTTGGTCCCGAATCGCAAGAGGGCTTCATCTGCAGCATCCTCCGCCCTCTCGATATCCTTCAGCCTCTTCGCGGCTTCCGCACGGAAGCGTGCGATGAAGCTCTCCCCTTCCTCGCCCTCTTTCTCATCCTTGGAGGCGGTCGGGGTAGCAGCTTCATCCGTCTCCTTGTTCTTGCCGCTGTCTGTAAGACTGGACAGTGCTCCACCCAAGGATAAACCTCTAGTTCTGCCCACGATACTGTCGCGTAGATCCGTGAATCCTTTCACAGCCTCCTCGCTCGCAGCCGCATACTCCTGCCGGGCACCCTCGTAATAGCTCTCTCCCTGTTTGCGCACATTGTCCCAGATCCCACCAATTTTTATACCCCAAGAACTGTTAGAGAATGCGCGGAACGTCTCCTGGAATTCGGCGCTGAGATCGAGGTTCGGGCGTTGACTGCTGGACGAGCCATCGGAACCATCGCCCGACTTGGAGGCCTCATTGGAGGACAGGAGATCCTCCTGGATATGGTCGTAGGCAATATCCATACCTCCAGACGATCCGAGAAGGGTTCTTCCAATTACAGGACGTAGAGAAAAAGAAACAATCGCAAAAACGGAGAGCCAGCTGTCAGGAGTGACTCCCCTGCACCTCGAGGTTCAGGAGCTGACGCAAGTTCAGGAAGGTCCTCCGCAACGAACGGCATACGGCGGCCCGCACGCCCCGCACGCGCGTAAACCGCTTCCGGTGCCTTATCGCTTAGTTACATCGGCCGGCAGCCAGTGCAGTTGTATTTCTAAGTCTGTATCTATATTGTTCTACGAGACGGCAAAAAAAAGAAAGAAAGAAAGAAAGAAAGAAAAAGAATAATAGCAAGCAGGCCATGAATGCAGCTACATTATTGCCAAAGTATAGTCTCTACCCAGTGTCATGTCTGCAGTATACACACTCCTCGATTTCACGAATTCACCCTTCAGGTAATGGATATGGCTCCCCAACACTGTCCTGGCTCAGCTGCCACGGTGGAGCAGGTAGGCTCTCCATCACGCTATCCGTGAGCCATTGACCAGCAGATACAAGTTTCCGCGGCTCAGGACCCGGATCCTTCTGTCTGTTGATCTTGTCCACCGGCTGCGAAGACTCTACAAGAACCACTGACTCCTGCGGAGGAGGTATTGGATGAGGATCATCGACATCCTTCGTGTCGTCCGCATCTCTCTGCACCGGTGAGGATTCTGGCACGACTTCAGTCGACATTTTCAAGGGATCTTGGCTCTGGGTCTGGGTTTGCGTCTGGGGGCACAAAATGTCGGAAGGATGATTCTTTGGCGGAGAAGATTGTCCCCGCGTTGAACCGCCGTTGGGACCTTGTTGAGTGCTGCTGTCTTCCGGAAATAGCTCTGCTATCCGTTGAGTGTTCAGCTGCGGGACCGGTCCAGCCGGAAACTGAGTGTATTGAGGTGGTCGGCGGTAGAATAAGGATGCATCTGAAGGCAACGCGTGATCTGAATAGTTACCATCACCCCCCTCGAGATCAGTACCCGAATTGGGGACTTGCGGAGGCAGATCCTGCGAGTCATCACTATGGGGTCCATTGTCACTTCCCGCAGCATCGCTCCTGTCATCTCCACCGTCTCGCCGACCAGCTTGACTAGACTGTGTCATTGTGTCATCAAAGTCACCATAATCCGTCTCAGCATCAGTCTCATACACGACTGTCTTTTCAAATCTCGCGGAGGATTTCCCTTCCGCTTCATCATGTTCTTGTTCTTCCCGTGGCCTAGACGATGGTGCATGACCATTCATGTCACCCTGCGACTGTAGTGGGGTGTCAGCGTCTAGTACCTCCGTGAGAGGAGGACGTTGCGAATCAGCGACGGTTGGGGACTCTGGTACTGGAGACTTTGATCGTGACAATGCACGAGCTGAGCGTGGTGAAGATCTGCCGTCAGGAACAATTGTCTTTTTTCCTTTTTCAGGCGTTTTGTCGACGGTGTTACCTGGCAGAGGTTTAAGAGGAAACCGAGGGACATCGCGTAGGTGAGGTGATGGGATGATCAGTTGACCAGGACTTTCGGGAGACTGTGAAGAGGGGATCTCCAGCCTCTGAGACATCTGACATTTTTGAGGCGTAGAAGGATTCAGAATAGGACGGTTGACAGTGATATGATTTTTAGCCGGTGACTCGACTACTTTATCCGACTGTGGCATCACAGGCGACCCGACAGACGCAGGATCATTGCTCAGCTTCCTTTTCTTCCGAGGACCCTGGTTATCCGTCCTTTGTTCAGCGTCATTGTTTACACTGGGTTTGTTGTTCGTCTTTGCGTCGTCTCTAGTGTGATCCTTGGAAGTACGCTCGATATACTCCAGGTCCCGATCGTCGTCCGAGTCATCGATGATGATGAAGCGTCGCACAAAGTCCATCTGTGTGAGCGTTTTGTTTCTCCCCTTCTCGTCCTTCGACTTTCCTGGTTTCATGGTCATAGATTTTCTTCCATGTTTAGTGCTCTTTTCCCCACTATTCTCAAGCCTGCTGTCCTTGATACTGGATCCACGCCTGCCAGTACTCTTATCTCGATTCGCATGCTGGACTCTGGGAGTGCGAGTTTCCCGCGTTCGCCGATTCGAGGGACGATATTCGGTATCATCATCACTGGATTCATGCTCCAGGTCGATCACCTCAATTTCGCCCTTCCGAGTGCTTTTGCCATCGTCGTTCTCGATGTAATCCAGCGCTTCGTTGTCCTGCGGCGGCCTCCTCACATAGTCGATCTGCGTCAGGGTAGTCTGGCTGTCCCAGTCTGCAGGAGAACGTATCTTCCGAGGCTTCAAACTCGAGATCGAGGGCTCGGGGCTCTTATTTTTGTTTCTCGTCTGTCTTGTTGCCTTCGTAGTCGTGGCCGCCTTTGTGATTGCCGCTCGCCGAAAAGGAGTGTTGTTGGCAGGGGTCTGGGGCTGCCCTTGCGGTGTGTTGGCGTGAATTCTGTCATGATCCCTCGACCCCATCTCTGAGATCACTGAAAGATCCCATGGAGAAGACAGGAGGAATTCATATGGCTGTGGGTCAATTGCAGCCGATACTATGCGGTTGTCCAGCCCCGATAAGCTGCGGCTCGGCCGTGCGGGAAGACGCGTCGACGCGTTCGGCGGTGATGCAACCGGTGGCCCGTGCACGACTGCCTATCAGGCATCTTCTCCAACACAATCGATCATCAATGACGATTCTGCAACAATTCTGTATTCTTTCTGTGGAATTTTCTTTCATTCAAAAATTAATCAGTGTCTAAGGCTTTCCAGCACAAGACATTAGTGTGCTTCCCTGAGAATGGTTCACATTGAATTAACTCCATTACTTGCCTAAATCTGATCAATGTGTCTCAAAACTGTCGGAAAAACAGAGCAACAGAGATGGCTTTCTTGATTTAGTGTCTGGGTCATAGTACCTGATGTGACACAGTTGCACTACGCTTAACTACTGTACAGATAATCATGACCATAGTAGTCATAACCATAACGTCATATATATGCACCTAGCAACCTAATCAGACAGTAACCACTCTGGCTCCGCATCTTCATCCTCTGGGTCATGCGATAGTAAAGACCTCTGCTCCAGGTTACTGTCATCATCATCACTGGGGATGTGTTGCGGTGACTGTGCTCGTGAATGTGCAGCGGACGGTGGCCGGGAGAGGACTTCGACACTCGCAGACTTGGAGGTCCCTTCTGCAGACGACTCAATCATAATCGGCGCGGCTTCCGAGGAGCCCTCTGCTATAGCAGATGTTTCTACTCTGTTTGGACTTCGTTCATGCTGGTCTCTCAACACTTCACATTGTTGGTTCACACTCGCTGAAGCTCCGACAGACGAACCAGGTGCTGGTGCCGTCTCGTCCTTCCGCTGGTCATTCGGGACAACAACAAGGGTGTAGCGAGGTTGGGTCTTAGCTGTCTTCTTAGGCCTGGGGCTCGCTCCCGCTGCCAGGACCGGATTCGAGGATACAGAATCTGCACCGCCCACAGGTTCGGGAAGAAAACCTCCCCCGCCGAAAGCATCGTCTGAATCCGGAATGGATTGAGTAACCCGAGCCTGCTCGTCATTCCCAGTTAAAGATTCATCTCGTGCTGTCGACTGAGCCAAGCTGGTAGGTTCCGCGATCTTTTGGTCGGAGTCCGGAAGGAACCCTCCGCCTGTTTCTGCAACATCCACATCCCCCATTTCATGCTCCTTCTCATCTTGTTGATTTTCCTCTTCCTCTCCCTCAATTGTGTAGCTCTTCACCTTCTCTGCGATCCTCAGCTTCAGCAAAAAGTGCTTCCACAGACGCAGCGCCTCTGCAGATCTTCTGTCGAGCTCTTCCTGGATCCGCTCCTCTTCTATGCATTTGATGACCTCCTCGAGAGCCTCTCGGTATTGGGTAGCGGCGACAATACCATTAAAGACTGCCGTTCCATGCCGGCCCTTGAATTCAAAGCCCGTTACGGCGTCCGCATAGTCAATGCCGAGAAGCCTAGCTGCTCGAGCAGCGTCTGGATGTTTGAGATGGAATGCTCCAGGTGGGACCATGCTGGGAACGTAGACATCCAGATTCCCGTATGCATTCTTGGGAACTTTACCTTTCACCACAGGCGGAGGCTGATAGAGCTCCGTTTGGTGAAACGCGTACATTGGCGTCTCCGCCGCCAGATCCCCATCCCTATCTTCTTGGTCGTTCCGGGCGGTGGCCACAGCCTTAACGCGCTTCAGCGGCTGCTCTCCCATTTTGATGTCTCGGCCCAGACGATACCACCCATCAGCACTTCTGACAACATGCACATCTGCACGGCGATAGACAGGCTCGAGCGCGTCCTTTTTGGAGCCCGACTTGCTCAGAGAAACGTGCCCGATCACCCGTTTGGGATGGATGACTTCATTCCGGCGTAAATGTCTCTCCAACGCATAGATCGGGTGATCCTTGAAGTCTTGGATATTCTTCGGCATCGGTTCTGCCGCCGTTTTGGCGGTCAGCTCGCTGATCTCTAGTTGATCACGATCTTCCATGAAAGGTTTTTCGAAGAATTTCATGGTATTCGTCCACCAATTTTCACCATCTTTGGTACTTTCCACCCGGTTTTTCCGTGTTTTCGCATTGTATGCTTTCGCGTAGCGCTGAGTGACGTCTCTGGCTGAGGCGTCTTCTTCAAAAGCCACCACATAGGACATGCCGTTGTATCTGTCACCGGCGGGGGGCTCAAACTTCGAAGCCTTGGCCACGGATTTCGTCACAAGCGGATCTACCGGAATCCATTTTTGCACTGCTTGATTGAAGGCTTCCACCCAGAACACTGGATATGGAGATGTTTGCAAATTGCGCGAAGCCCCTGAATCTCAAGTCAGCTGATATAATACACTTTTGCGAAGATATAGGACTAACCAATGTGCCGGGACGGCGGAGACTGGCGGGGAATGGATTCGCTGAATTGCGGCTGACCAAGTCTCCTTGCCTTCGGCGGAGTTTGAGGACGAGAACGCGTTACGTCGTCACTCGAACTCGCATGATCATCAGACGAGATAACGATGTACTCTGGTTTCTGCTTGACAGGAGTCATGCCCTTCGCCACGCCGGAAAATGGAAGCGGCTGGAGGGAGCAAACCAGACGTGTTTCCACTGAAACCGAGCGCAGCAAGGCACAAAACAACTGAGCACCGAAATCACGAGATCCTTGCAGAGTTTTCGCCTGCTTCCGAAAGTCCTCTTTGGAAGTGATCGTTTCTGCCTCACGCAGAATTGTTTCCTACAGGGCAATTAGCGCGGAACAGCATCGAATAGTGAGATTGGGGAGTGTACCGCTTGATCCTTCACTGCCTTGGGATCTTCTGCCCAATGCGCTCGCCTCAATCCGGGTGCCGTTACCTTGAACCTCCTGCTGAACGCTTCACTGGCTTGCTTCAGTCCATCGATAAACGTTGTAGATCGAGTGAACTGCGACATGCTTTCCTTGGGATTGAGGAACGCTATCGTCTGCTTGGACAGCATCTGCTTTAAGAATTTCTAATGGCTATTAGACTGTTTCCAATAAATTGTACAGATGCGGACGGTTCACCTACTTGGACTTCCTCGTCGTTGCACCACAGATTGCGCAGGTGAACATGGCTAAGTAGACAGAGGACATGAACCTTGTGGATATCTAATCTAAGCTTCTTCTCAGCAGCCGAGGCTGGTTTTCGTCTGGCCACGACCGCCTTTCGTGGTTTGTCGATGGCTTCGTTGAGTGTAATCTGGATGGGCTCGTCGCTGTCTCCAGCTTGAGCAGGGTGAGCGCTCGAAGGTTGGTGAATCTCCACTTCTTCCCACTCCATATCGGAGTCATCATCGGAAGCGTCCAAATCATAAACAGTTTGCACTTGTTTATCTGCGTTGTCGTCGTCTTTCCTCGAAGCAGGTGCTGGTTCTGCTTCTTTCACGGCTGTCACCGGAGTTGCTGGCGGCGTTCTCCTCTCGCCGACTCTTCGCCTTTTGATCGGCCGATCCTCTATGTCCTGCTGGTTCGCAGCGCGCGCATCTGCTTCGGCCAGCATTTCGCGGTAGACTTCAGGAATCTCATCATCGGTATCATCTTGCCGTCTGGCTGGGGGTCTGCGACGAACCCTACCTCGTGCAGACGACAAACCACCGCGAGCCATAATGCGCTAAAGCAAATTATGGCAATGAAAAAATTCACGTAATAGTATACCTATACAATTTCCTCAATGGGGCTGCGTGGCCCGAATCCATTCGAAAGAACGTAATGTCTGTGATGGCGTCCTATCCGCATGGGCTAGAACGCGCCCGCAATGGCGCTGGGCCTCGCAGATAGCAGCAGCTGCCACAAAACAGGAAGTAGCATAGATGAGCACTGCTAGAAGCAGAGGTCATATTTCGGGCGCTCTGCATCTTATGCACATAGCATTATCGTATCGGGGGATGGACAGACGCGTGTGCGACAAGGCCAGCAGTCGTCGCTCAATGCATTGATAATCCGCAACAACGTTATTCCGGGGCGATGAAGAGAGCCAATAAGAGCGCAGGCATGCGTATCGTTCTCTTGCATCTCTACACAATTGCTGAAGTCTACGATGCAACAAAAAGGTCTATAAATTGATGATCACCTAGTCGATAAGCAGCTTTCGAAAGCTTCCGCAATGGCCTCTATCGACAGCCACAAGTTCTGCAAAAAGTCTGTGCAATGAATGAAGCATTGCGTCATAAGCAGCAAACATCATAGGCATCAAGGAACTACACACGAATGCAATAAACCATTATAGAGCGGCTGGTAGATGAACATGAATATAGGCAAGTCGATTGATTGATGCTAGTTCCATCTGACCTCGATAAACGGCCTCCCAAGCCGTGTTAGAATAAATGTCCTTAGTATCCAACTCATCCCTCTCCTACCTACCATGGTAAGAACTTCACACTCCATGGTTCCATGAAGGCAGAATTACTGCCGCCATCCGTCATTTCCGGAGCTGGTCGGTCTCGCGTTTGTCCTCACTTCAATCCTCGATGATCTACGGTCGGCCACATCTAGTGTCTACGTATACGCATTGTGAAAGATTGGCTCCATTCAAGATATGTTTTCAAGATCCCTGAAGACCAGGCAGACTCTGCCTCTGGTGCAATCTGCATTCACGCGTTTAAGTCGTCGATGTCTCGCCGACGTTGGCCCTGTCCCTGCTGTATGCAACTCTACTCAGTTCCAAAAATCGATTTCAATGAATTGACAAAGACTGTCCGTTCAGGAAGACGACAAGCCATTCGAAGTGCCAATCCCGGATGACAGTTTCGAGACATACGAACTGGACCCCCCTCCATATACGTTGGAGACGACGAAGCGGGAACTTCGACAGCTGTACAGGGATATGATGACGATTAGGTAGATAGACTCGGTCAACATTCCATCTTCCATTATTTTAGTTAATTCTGTGCTAGACGCCTCGAACTCGCCGCAGACAGACTTTATAAAGAACAAAAGATTCGCGGCTTCTGCCATCTCTCGACCGGCCAGGAAGCCGTCGCTGTCGGCATCGAGCATGCCATTACGCGCAGTGACCCGCTAATAACGGCCTATCGCTCGCACGGCTTCACACTGATGCGGGGCGGCAGTCTCAAGTCGATCATAGGCGAACTCCTCGGGCGACAGGAGGGCATCTCGTACGGAAAAGGCGGCTCGATGCACATGTTCGCGAAGGGGTTCTACGGCGGAAACGGGATCGTCGGTGCTTCAGTCCCCGTAGGAACGGGGATTGGCTTTGCGCAGAAGTACACCGACAGCGGGAATGTCATGATCAATCTGTATGGCGATGGGGCGGCCAACCAGGGGCAGGTGCATGAGGCGTTCAACATGGCCAAGTTGTGGAATCTGCCGGTGCTGTTTGGATGCGAGAGTAAGCCTTGATCTTGCGGTAAAAGAAGAAAGCCAGAAGTTGACGGATCTTGCAGACAACCAATACGGCATGGGGACCTCTGCTGAACGGGCGTCTGCGATGACAGACTACTACAAACGAGGACACTACATCCCAGGGCTGCGTGTCAACGGGATGGACGTGCTTGCCGTTCTCGTCGCTGTGCGATATGGATGCGACTATGTCCGAGCAGGTAACGGACCTCTGGTCTACGAGTATGTCACCTATCGGTATGCGGGGCATTCGATGTCGGACCCAGGCGTAATCTATCGGACTCGCGAAGAATTGCAGGAGAAGCGGAAGCAGGATCCGCTGACGGTGCTGAAGACGAAGCTGATCGAGTGGGACGTCAATACGGAAGACGAGCTCAAGGCGCTGGACAAGGAGGTCAGGAATGAGGTGAATGAGGCTGTTGCTGAGGCAGAGAAGATGCCTGATCCGCCCCCGACGCCGAATACCCTGTTTCAAGATATCTATGTTCGAGGCAGTGAGCCGGCGTATATGCGAGGTCGGACGGTAGATGAGACGTATTATTATCCAAGAGTGTGATAGATATATTTACAGCCACGCGTCAAGATATATATTAGAAATCGTAATCCTAATACACACATGAAAGACAACCCAATGACAGAGATTACTGAACCCCCGCTGTCCTAAAGACGGATTCGAGACTAGCCATACTAGATCCGTAATCTATACACCTTTGTCACCGACGTAATCCACGCGGAGATAGACGTCACAATGTTTTAACCCTAAATTTACCGAACCTATCCTGACAAGCAACTGACAAGAAAAAAAAGAACATAACAAGAACAGAACAACAACCAGGGCGTTAGAGGAGAAGAGCCAGACTCCAATTAGGATTTTATTTATCAATTTTATTCCCCCAGAAAAAAAAAAGAAGAATGGCCGCTACAGCTGCAGTCGCCGCCCCGATCAACGTCGCAACGCTGGTCACGCCAGCGCGATGCACGGCTGATTTCTCACTTGTCCCGGTGAGTAGAAACATACAAACATATAAACATATCTACACACGCAACATATCTATGGAAGTATATATCTACATCAGTGCTGACTTGTCAACCCAGATCGGCGGACAATCCACCTCCTACTCGCAACAAATCGCCGACATCCAGCGATTGATGCAGCAATCGGGACTGAAATTCACCATGCACTCGACGGGGACGACAGTTGGTATGATCGATCCCCTTCCCCAAATGTTTCCACCAAATCGCTAATTGTTAATTATTTGTGGATTTTAGAAGGCCCCTGGGACCAAGTAATGCAGCTGATCGGCTGGGCGCATTCGCTGATCCACGGGCAGGGGATTGCGCGGATTCAGACCGATGTGAGGATTGCGACGAGGACGGATAAGGTGCAGCCGATGGAAGGAGAGATTGCGTCTGTGGAGAGGATTCTTGCTGCTACTGCTTAGCACTGATATACTGCTTGATAAATTCATCAATACATTAAATTGGCTGGTCGATTGATGGATTGATTGATTGCGTGGGTTATTGCTGTCTTAATAGAGTCAGGATGGTTAGTTAATTAATTCTGGCCTGGTTAATCGCTTGCAACGTTCAGAGCAGAAAAGAAAGACGATGAGCCAGTTCCTTATTAGAGTTAGTAAGGGATACTTTCGAGAATTTCCAGATACTGGATGGCAATAATAAATCTGAATAATAAAACATCTAGCGAATGAATGAGTAGTCGATCTGCACTAGTAAGACAGAAGTGAATAGGTGTACATGGTAGAAAGATATAGTATCAGTGACATCAAATAAAATCAAACGTAAGGGGGAACGACATGCAAGAATGGAATGAAGAATGAGAGTTAAAAAAAAAAGAAAAAGAAAACCATGTCCAATACAACCTTGTATACAGAACTCCCATCCAGGGAAGACAACCAATACGTAGGCAATAACTTAATGCAGAGACTACCTACGTGGTAGTCCCTCCCACAAACACCACCAGGACAGCAGAGTACGCCGCCGTGGCCGTAAACATACTAATGGAGTCCGACGCAGTCAGCGCCATCATGGCAGCCGCAAAGACGAGCGTAAACACCCAGATGACAACGAAGCGGACGGGGATGCTGTGGACCGTGTAGAGGGCGAACATGGAGACGTCGTTGAGCGCGGTCGCGATGACCACCAGGGCGACGGTCACCCAAGACGAGAGCTTTTGGCTGTGGAAGCGGAGGAAGTACTGCCCGTCGGGCAGTCTTTCATTATCATCTTCGTCATCATCGACGGTGAAGCCGGGGAGGAACTGCATGAAGGTAAGTATTTCTTCTGAAACGAAATAACTTGTGTTACGTTAGATTAGACATTACCTTGGCAAATCTCCGAAAACAACCACTATCTTTCCACCGACTGAGCCGTTTCGTAATCCACGTGGTGACGCGATCTCGCTTTCGATAACTCCGGCTGAACAGCGCGACGAGGTCTTCCTGGAGACCTCTCTTCCACGGCGTGTCGTCCATGATGCCTATATCAGCAAAGACTTTGAGGACTACCTCCAGGGTGTCGAGATCGACTTCGTCCGGTTCGGCGAGGTTATTGATTTGCGCGTATTTCAGCACAAACGTGTCTATATATAAGTTCAGTGGTTAAACTTTTACATCAAAGTGATAGCTGCAGTAGACGTACAAAACTCTCTGAGCTTCCTGTCGGCCTCGTCGGCCAACTGCTGGAGATCCGGAGTGGTCTCCGACGATGTTGCTGGCTGAGGGGTTTGCGAGGCGCTAGTCGCTGCATGTGCAGACAGGGCCTGTTTGTATCGCTCTTCGGCGGCGTGCAGCTCCGCCTGGAGACGCAGAATGTTTCTGAGGCCCAGTTCGCCGAAGCTGCGCACGAGCGCTATGCGGCGCTTGTGCAGGAAAGACTCCACGAGACGATCGTAATTGCGAGGGGACGCCATGCGGAATATAGTCTGGTCAACAACGCTGCTGGGAGAAACAAAGAAATCAATGAACGATGAATGATGAATAACAATACCCCATTATATATCTGCAATCACAACGCCAGGAGGCTCAAGGCTCAATACTGCGAACACCCGTTGATCTGTCGGGACGCCACGAGGCAACGAATGACTCGCATTGCATGGCCGGGTGTGCGGCAAGCCAACAAGAACCCCTGCCTGCATTCATTCTAGTTGTCCATCGTTCACACAGCTCGAGCTCATTCGCCACGCATCGACAAGGCGAGGAGACAACTGGCATTGATACAGTTCCTGCAGCTGTCCATGCCCGGCAAGATGACCTGACCGCACGTGGATAGCAATGGATGGCTCAGGAACACGTTGGTAACCACCTCTGGGAGAATGAGCTGCGCTGCCAACTTGGCGTTCGACAAGGCTGTAACAGGTGAAATATGTCTTTGGTGATTGCACAAATGTAATGCCAGATCTGTTTGCAGGACAGCGTGGGCAGCTAACTGATTTTCTGATCTAACTCAGAAAATTATTCCCACCCATGGCCGCAAAGACGAAAAGGTCATGTGATCAATACCATTGGTGTTGTAGTTAAAGATGGAACTCTGAACAAGAAGCTTCTGCTATCTTCATCGGCTGCCAGCCTACAGCAGAGAGGGTTGGGATTCTAGATATGCTTAAGATCAGTCTCAGATCATTAATGGCATGCACGAATCTTACTCAGAGAATCTCTGGACACGTCTGTTTTTCTTTTTTTTTCCTTTTTTTTTTTGTTTGTCGATGGACAATAGTTATACAGCTCGTGTTCTGGCATGTCGAGACGCATCAAAACTCGGTCTTAGACGAGGGCACTGATGCACAGAATGAGAAATTGATCAGATATTGAGTGACAATTCACTAAAAATAAAGACATCTCTGCAGGAAGATTCGTGGGCAAATATTTTATTGTTTCTGAGTATGCAGCTTTTTTAAATTAAGTCAATGAAGATGCGGAGTAGACTTGAGTACAGAGTACGGAGCCGGAAGAACTACCAGGACTAACACTACGACTTGTCATAAAATTAACTTCGCGGCACTGCTCTGCTTCAGGTCGACCCACTTGGGCTGTCAATTAGCGCTCCCTATCCCAGCCCGTTTGTGCACTGGGAAAATGGCGGTCTGAGGTCAAGACTCCTGACAGTCAATCATGGCGATAATAACATACTTTGTGCAGAACGCCCCGTACGAAGTATTACTTTGTAACTCTTGTAGACTCCTTCTGTGTCGACGGAGAGAACGCCAGCACTTGTAAGACCTCAACTCGAATGCGACCTGGTGATGACAGCCTCTGGCAGTCCCCGAAGTAGCCAGTACAGAGTACGCAGTACCCCAGCAGCAATATTACTGAGAGGACTGATTTTTCACAAGTAGAACCAAAATTGGGGGAGCTATGAGGCTCCAGAACCCAAGCATGACAATGCGGGCCCAAAGAAGAAACACCTAAAAGATCGACCAAACCGGTCAGCCTGCCAATGTGAAAATCCGGTTAGCTTTGTGGGGAAACAAAAACGCCATCAAAAGATAGGAATAACGATATCCAATCGTTAGAACTGTCCAACACGTCTGTAATCTACTCCGTATTTCTTCTGTACGGAGCAAATACAGATACCCCAGGTACCCAAGTAATCGACGCGAGACCATGGTCATGGTACACTTCTGTAAAGAAGGATGACAGAAGAACACGGAAACCTGTCGAGGATATAGCTGATTTATCTCCCGCTGCGATAGACATGCTGAACCAGGCATGCATTGGCCTGTTTTGATTTCCACCCCTCTCGTACAGCAGGCAGTCGAAGCTTTGCTGTCCAACTCCTGCCAACTCGACGCCTTCGAGCCTCAAAACAAGCAGGGGAAGATGAAGCTCAGACAATGGCCGATTCGTTCAAGGCTCGCTTGCAGCGTGGCTGAGTGCCCAATGTGCGATTGTTATTTTTGTGATTTTCTCCCAAATCGGTAACCGAGTGTCACTGCTTAATAGTGGGTTAGAGGACATTCAACACTTCTCTTCATCACAGCAGAAAGGTAAATATTCTGACGAGTTTGTCGATAAAGGAGAGAGGATATTGCAGTGTGAGTATATCCCGATCAAATTCTCTTCTGATGGTGTGATTTGTTTCAAGAGTTTTGTGTCGTGTCATTCGCGACTCGACTCATTCCCCGCCGTATACATACTTCGAAGGAACATGCTGACTTGACCTCATAACTAGTGAGAACCCATTCGGTAAAAACCTCTGAGATATTGATCAAAGTCTGCCGGATATCGAGTTCCCCGTTCTGTGCCTTTATCCTTGATTTCATCGACAGAATGCCACGCTCGAGCACCCAGCGACCACATCGGAGCCGATCGTCAACAGACTCGACTGACAATTCACGCCTACCAATACTCGGCATATTCTTTGGGAGGGTAGGTTTTCGTGGGAAATATAGATAGATTATATATCGTCCTTTTCCTTTGTGTGGTTGCTCGAGATGGGTGTTCCTATAGAGGATCAGCACGCAGCTTCTAGGCTGACGAGAACATGAGCAGCAGAAGAGCAAAAATCATCCGCAGAATCAAGGTTAATCATCCATCCTTTCTTTCTTTCTTTCCTTTTTCATATCTTCTTTTTTTTTTTGTCGTGAAATATCTGGTCCGGATTCAACGCTGAGTCTGATTGCTGGATAAGCAGACGACCATCGACCACATCGACCACATCGACAACAGCAAAGACGCAACTCGAGAAAAGAGCGAAATGATATATTCGTTGCGGTCAGTTGCACTTGATTCGAAGCGTTGCAATCGACGCCGTTGGATAGGTTCGACTTTGGGAAACATGTCGAAGTCTTATATACCTACCTGGGGTATATACAACATGGACGTTGATTCCGCCAATCACGGCACAGTGCGCGGACAAGGGAGCGTGTAGTGCAGACAAGGCACA